AAATTAAAGCCCGAAGGCCGTGGGGGCGGGGCGGGGCGGGGCGCGAGGCTTTGTTTCCTTGCGGTTCCCCGGTTGTCAGCCGACCCTGGAACCTGTACTTTTTAATTTCCCTGGCCACGTGACAGTGTTTTCCAGGAAATTCTCGGGGAGCCTGCGTCACCGCCAGCAGCTACAGTGATTGCCGTAGCGACGCTACTTGTTTTCAAAACGCGGACTTTTATGGTGCGGCGCGAGTACCATTTGCGGCTTCCTCCGTTCAGACTGAGGTTGTTAGTCACTCTGTGATCTGAGTTTCGAGCAGTAGTGACGCTGGGGAGCTCGGCGAGGGTTGTGCGTGCGCCTGCGTGCCCGCGCGTTCTCCAATCCGCCCCTTTCCCCCCAGGGAGTGGCGGGGGGGGCGAAGCGCAGACTCACAGCACTACGGTCCCTGCCGGAAGCGCTCGCCGCGGCAGTGCGCCTGCGCCTTCGGGCCCCGCCGAGGCGCCCGCCTTCCCCCGGCCGGCCAGCAGGGGGCGCTGTGGGGCCGTGGACGCGGCTTCTCCCTGGGGCTGTGGATCAGGGCTTAAAAGGGCCGGAGGCGAAGCCGGCTGAGGGGCGTTCTAGCTGCCGCCGCCCTGGTCTCTATCACCCTTTGTCCTCCAGGCTTCCCCGGCGCTGGGCCTGCGGACCCGGTTGCTAGGCGGAAGCGGGGCGCGGCGGCTGCCGCGGCGGCTGCCCGGGCGTTTGAAAAGCGGCAACGCAGGCGGCAAAAGGTCCTCCGGCGGCGGGCTCGCCTCCCCCCGCGGACGGGCCGCGCGGCCGTGGCCGTGGCCGTGGCCGTGGCGTTGGCCTGAGTCGGGGCAGGGCTCGGGCTGCGCCGGCGGCCCGGGGTCGGGGTCGGGGTCGGGGTCGGGGTAGGGGTCGGGGAGCGCGGAGCGGGCGGTGGGAGCCCCGCCGGGGGCCCCGGGGCTGGTCGCGGGCCTGCCGCCCCTCACCCGGGTCCCTCTTCCCCGAGCAGACCCCGCCTGCGGGCCGCCCGCCGCGACCATGGTCTCCAAGTCCGACCAGCTGCTCATCGTCGTGTCCATCCTGGAAGGTGAGCGGCCCGGGGCTTTGCCTTTGCAGCTGCAGCTTCCCGAGTTCTCGCAGAGCGGCGTGCGGCCGAGGCCTTGTGAGCCTCGAGAACCTGGTCCTCTGGGCTTCCGCGCGCTCCTGGCTCTTGCTCACAGTTTTAGTTAGTTCGGTCCGCGAGGCGATTGATTTAAGAGTGATCTCAAGGGAGTGTGAGCGCTGTTAGGGGTAGGTGATGTTTAACGTGAGCGGTCGGAGCCCCGGAGAGTGTAGGAAAAACGATTTCCATCCGAAGCAGCATGTAGTTGCCTTTTCCATGTGAGCTTAGTGTGCCTGCAGAGCACGTCCTGTTCAGCGGCCCCTGGTCAAGCCATTTGCGAGAACTTTGAGGCAAATACAGGTTTCCTGCAGTACTGCAGAGGCTGTTCCCCTTTACAAGCCTTGATCGGGGTCCTAGAGGTCTGGAGTTGTCCAGACTGTCATACGGGCCTCGAGGTTTGGCTTGTTGAACACCTGACATTTGATTATGGGAGGCTTTTGGAGTGTTTTAGGCACTGTGCTGGGAATGGAAGGATAGGAGAGCCCCAGTCCTAAAAGGTCAGCGTGCAGAAATGTGCATTTTTCAGGGTGTGGAAGAAGGAAAGACAAGCTCTGGGGATGATTTCCCAGCGCAAGTGATACTGATTTGGGTCCTAAGGGATGATTAGATAGGTGTCAAAGGGGAGGAAAGGAGGGCTTTTCATGCAAAGGGAAGAGCCAAGAAAACTCCAGGTATGGAAAAACAAGGCGTATTGTGCAATTGCTTAAATTCAGTGTGGTTGGAAAGTAGGTTGCCGGAAAGTGGAGGACATAAGAATTGGTAGATAGATGGAGGACAGGTGATGAGTAACAATGACAAGTCATCTGGAGTGGACCAGAGGGATGGCTGGACTTTTTTTTTTTTTAATTTTATTTATTCATTCATGAGAGAGACACAGCGAGAGAGAGACACAGACACAGGCAGAGGGAGAAGCAGGCTCCATTCCATGCATGACGTGGGACTCAATCCCGGGGCTCCAGGACCACACCTGGGACCGAAGGTGGCGCTACGCCACTGAGCCACACAGGCTGCCCGACTTTTTTTTTTTTAAGCACCCAGTGGAGGTTTTTTGTGGAGGCCTGGCATGATTTGGAGGATGAAAGTGAATGAGTCATAGTGAGTTTTGGATCAGAAAGCTTACCAGAAACTGTAAACTCTTGAGGCATTTTATTTTTATTTTTAAAATAAATTTATTTTTTATTGGTGTTCAATTTGTCAACATACAGAATAACACCCAGTGCTCATCCTGTCAAGTGCCCACCTCAGTGCCCGCCACCCAGTCACCCCCACCCCCCGCCCACCTCCCCTTCCACCTCCCCTAGTTCGTTTCTCTTGGGGCATTTTAAACTGTTAGGTTACTTATTGTTTAAAGACAGAGGATTGAAATCCCCTTGTCATTTGGTCAGTAAAAGCTTTTGGACTTGCTACTTGATCCCTGCTGGGCAAAGGAGGAAACTGAAATAAAAGGCGTGCGCTGTCTCTCCCTTCAAGGATGTAGTAGTCTGTCTTCTTGGGGAGATCAAATTCAGTTGCAGGACACAGTATGTTGGGAGGCGGTAGAATATTAAAAACACTGGATGTGGGCTGTAAACATTGGTTTTGGGGATGAGTTGGTATGATGTGCTTAAGGGCCGTGAGTGTTAAGTAAGGTTGAAAGAAAGTCCTTGCTGGCAATTAGATTACCCAGGCCAGCAGCGATGGAGTGGGTATGGTGGATGGAGTGGTGGAGAGGTCTGTAGGATGCCCGGGGTCAAGGGAGGTGAACACTGAGGAATATTCTGGTAAAATAAGCTTGTGTAGCTGGAGTGAATAGACCCTGGAGGATTTTGACAGCTAAGGAGTTTAGAGTTCATGCTCTAAAAAAGAGGGAGTCGTCCATATTCCTAAGTAGAAGTACATTATTTGCAAGTTTAGTAGCGTGTTGCAGGGAAGAGAACTTGGATTCAGGGATGTCAGTTAGGTGTTGCCACAAACATAGCTACCACTGGCGTGTGTGCCTTTTGTTTGTGTTTCCATCCATCATTGTAACTGTGTTGTTGCCACAAGCCCAGAACCTGAGAGTCCTTATCTCCCTGGGTAGGAGATCCCCACTTTCTCTATCCCCACCTTCCAAATGGTCACCAAGTTTTGTTAGATTTATTTTTAAAATAATACTAGGTGCTTTGTGTAAACTGGTAAATGAATAATTTTCCACTGTGAGTGCCCTGCTTTGAGGTCCTCATTATCCACCTAATCTAATGTAGTGATCTCTTCAGTAGTCTGTTTCATGAATGGGTTTTTTTTTTTCTTTTTCAGAGAACGTCTGCTGTTCTTATCACTAGGGTAATTGTTTTGAAATGCAAATCTTATTGTCTTAAGATCCTTCAGTGTCCTAAGGGATAATGTCTCTACTTTTTAGAACGGGATTCATGGCCCTTTGTGATACATCTCTTGCCTACTTTTTCAGCTTTACCTCCTCTCCTGTCATATGTTCATATATTTCCAGCTCCTTAGTTAAATTGAGCTACCTATGGTTTCTTGACTTTAGCTCTAGAAATGCCCTTTATTCAAAAGAAAATGATGAGGTTTCTACCATGAGCGAAACTGGGGCACCTGCTGATTCCAAGGATGAATAAGACAAGGTTTCTGTTCTCGGAGTATTGTCTTTGGAATGAGACAGGCACCTGTTCATTCCAGTACATATTCTCTGTTCTAAGGCTAGTTGGTGCTTTTAGTTATGAAAGTGTGACTGAAAATACAGGTTTTTTGACATCGATGAAATTCATCTGGGTAAGCCAGTGATCTTTTAGAGCGGCTCAAAATGAGTGCAGGGAGAGGCCTCTGTGACTGCTAATTGGGAGAGCTGAGCCACATGTGGTAAGACATCTAGATGGGGAGTTTCAAATGAGAGCTTCAGGTTGAAAGTCACAGGATTGCAGTCAAGATCTCTCTGACCTCTTCCTTACAAAGTAGCTTGTACCAGGGTGAGTAGCAGCTGGGATGTATTTATTTAACAGTGGTCAACGCTCATCTCACCAAAATATGCCTCACCAGACCTGTAAACAGGTTGAATGTTTGCAGTGTTTTCAGTTTCTCTTTCCACTAGACCCTCAATTCCTTAAGGGCAAGTACTCTGTATCCCAGCCTTTGTCATAATTAATACCTGACTCTGATGTGCCTTCAGTAAACAGGGAAGGAATGGAGCAGGCAGTACCAGTGGAAAATGATGTGTAGACAGAATATTTTATTCCTTTTGATCATTTGCAACGTTGTCCTTGAGATTTGAATGAATCTGTAAAGAAACCTGTGTCTCTTTTTCCCTGGCCTATTTGCTGAGTATTTAGGCAAATTAAGAAACAGATTGTCTTTTTTTTTTTTTTTTTTTTGCTAACTTGATTATTTCCCAACTCTCCTGACAACTTCATTGCTCCATATTCACTGCTGGTATAGTGATACCTAAAATAGTGAAATCACATTTTTAATTGTTTAATACTACGTTGGCATTTGAGATCTTTGCTGCTCAGAGGACAAATCAAGGACAATAGCATTGACCTCAGATGGGATCTTGTTAAAAATGCAGCCTCTCAGGCCCATCCTAGACCTAGTGAACCAGGATATACATTTTAGCAGGGTCACCAGGTGATTCCTGTGCATGTTGATGTTTGAGAAGGACTAGTTTACAAATTGTAGCTTTCACTTTGATTCGTTTGTTGTGAATCATGAATTTTTACATGTTTAGTAAGTAATTAGTGGAATATAGAAGTCAACAACTCCTGATGTAGATCAGTTTTTAAAATGTGCTTAAAAGATCATATTTGAAAAAAAAATAAAAAAAGATCATATTTTGATGGTTGTATGCTTCTGATTAATCCTTATAGTCTTTTAATTCCAGGTCGCCATTTCCCCAAGCGTCCAAAGCATATGCTTGTAGTGGAAGCAAAGTTTGATGGAGAACAGTTGGCTACCGACCCTGTGGACCACACTGACCAGCCAGAATTTGCTACAGAGTTAGCCTGGGAGATTGACAGGAAGGCCCTTCATCAGCACAGGTGACTGCTGTTCTCAGTTCCTCCTACTCTGTGTTTCAGGCTCCTAGAGATGAATAAATTTATATCCTATTAGATTATAGTAACAATGATAATACCTGTTTAGTAGTTTTGTAATGTGCCAGATTTTCAAAGTACTTTGTAGTAATAATTCATTTGAGCATCAGAACAGCCCTATGAAGTGGGTGTTAGGATTTCCTCCCCATTACGAGTTAGGCCTCAAAAGGTAAGTAACTTGTCATAAGTTAGCTGGTTGGCTGTAGAGCCCAGCCATTTGACCTCTAGAGCCTGCATCTCTAACTGCTACATCTAGTTTTTCTGATGTCTGAGAGAATAGATGTTATAGAAGGGAATAGATAGATATTCTGTAATGATGCCTAGTCAATATTAATGAGGGTTGGAACTCATTGTAATTTCTATTACTTCATTTGTTATATATACTTGACCTGCCAAGGACATATAGATATATGTATATAGTAATTACATAAAAGACTCTAATATAGGGCAGCCTGGGTGGCTCGGCAGTTTAGTGCCGCCTTTAGTCCAGGCGCAGATCCTGGAGACCCAGGATTGAGTCCGACATCAGGCTCCCTGCATGGAGCCTGCTTGTCCCTCTGCCTGTGTCTCTGCCTCTCTCTCTCTCTCTCTCTCTCTCTCTCTCTCTCTGTCTCTCATGAATAAATAAATAAAATCTTTAAAAAAAAATACTCTAATATATTTTATACTTGATTTTAGACATATAAACATTGGGTATCAGGACATAAAACAAGCTTAAAGTTAGAATGTCTTATTTCTTGAACTCAGATGACTGGAAACAGGCAAGAGTACAGATACTTGTATTTTAAAAAGCATTGAAAAAATATTTTTCTGGGAAACACAGAATGACTTCACTCCTTGCTATGACCTAGGACTAGAACAAGTAAAATTGCAAAGTTCAAAAATGAACGTCAGGAGAAATTTCTTTTTTTCTATGACTAAATTTGTTGGATTTGAGAGGATAATAAATTCTTAGAGGAGATCACAGTTTTGTTTTCAGTGGCTTCTGGAATAGTTTGTGATTTTATGGTAATTAATTCCTAAGTTTATTTCATTATTATAGTGACAAAGAGAGCTTTAAATATTTATTTGTATTTGTAGTTTTATGTGTGTGTGACAGTAGGAGGAAAATATTTTGAAATCAGTCTTTGAATATTACTTGGTATAAAGATAAATGGGTGTAATTAATAGTTGGGATCAGTTGAAGAATATTTCAGAAAATATAGTTTTCAGTTATCCAACAAAATTATAATTGTCCTAATAGTAGGGGGCAGCTTTTTCAAAGCTAACAGAACATCAGTTCAATATTAAACAGAAGCTACTTTATCTCTAATGTAAATTGTTACTTTACAGGTTGCAACGTACTCCTATCAAACTGCAGTGTTTTGCCTTGGATCCTGTATCTTCAGCCAAGGAAACTATAGGTTACATTGTTCTAGACTTAAGAACTGCTCAAGAAACAAAGCAGGTACTAGCCTTTTGATGTTTTGTTACTGATTGTGTTGTCAATTTGTGGTAGATGCTAAATTGATGGAAAGGACAGGGAGTATTGGACCTGAAAGGTGGAGGGTTGAGCCTGGATGGCACTTCTTATCTTTCGGTTGATAAATTTGATTTAGAAAATCCTGGTCTTTTGGTCATTTCTTTAACCTAGAACTATTTTTCCCAAAGGAGACTCTCTGTGAGCTCAAACATATGGTCACGATACTCTTACCTGGAGCTTAGCACGTTCACCTGCTGAGCTTTGCTTTGATTGGTAAACCTCTTGCATTGTTCTTCCCTTCAGTAAATGATCCCTGCTCTTCTTCCAGGCATGCAAGCTCCAAGTTCAGGAGTCTTCCTCCACACCTCGCTTTTCAGGCCATCATGCACCCCTTTCCAGCCACCCCGATCCAGCTACTATTCTACATTTTCACTGTCTCGATCCCAGCCTTAGCCACTGTCCTTTCTTTCTTTCTTTTTTTAAAGATTTTATTTATTTATTCATGAGAGAGAGAGAGAGAGAGAGGCAGAGACACAGGCAGAGGGAGAAGCAGGCTCCATGCAGGGAGCCTGATGTGGGACTTGATCCCGGGTCTCCAGAATGACGCCCTGGGCTGAAGGCGGTGCTAAACCACTGAGCCACCCGGGCTGCCCGCCACTCTCCTTTCTTAACTATGGCTGTGGTAGTAGCCATCTCATTGGTTTCCCTGCTTCCTGCTCCTTGAATTGCTCCTGTAGCAGTCGGAATGAATAAACTTACTGCAATGCACTTAGGTGATGTTAACAGTAACCCCCCCCCCCCCAACACACACATACACAGGAACACACACACAGAGAAGGGGAAAGAATTCAGGGTTTGATTCCTAGATCAGTGCTTTCTGTTACTGAAGATGTTTCTTTCATCTATTTAAAATCTCTCTAACGTTTTTTTATGTTACTTTGGAAATGCTTTACTTTCAATTTTTATTACTTTTGTCACAACTCTTTTAAGAGAAAACAATTAAAAACTTGTTTTTGAAGTCCTTTTTTTTTTATTTAAATTCAGTTAGCCAACATATCATACATTATTAGTTTCAGATACCATTTTTTCAGTAATTTATCAGTTGCGATTAACACCCAGTGCTCATTACATCCTTTATTCTTGGTAGGAATCCTGAATTAGAATTCTGTCAAGAGGGGATCCCTGGGTGGCTCAGCGGTTTAACGCCTGCCTTTGGCCTGGGGTGCGATCCTGGAGTCCCGGGATCGAGTCCCACGTCAGACTCCTGGCATGGAGCCTGCTTCTCCTTCCTCCTGTCTCTGCCCCCCCCCCATAAATAAATAAATAATAAATAAATTAAATCTTTTAAAAAAAAGAATTCTGTCAAGAAACATTGATCTGTTACCAACATTTTCACTACTGGTGGCCATGATATTTACAAATGAGTCAAGTAGCTTAGCCCAAATTTGGAATCCTTCAAAAGCTGAAATTTTAAAATGTTTCACAAGATAATCTTTTTCTCCTCCCTCCTGGGGTACTATTCCTCAGCCCTCTGCGCTCGGGTTCTGGAAAAGGTTTTCTTTCTTGAATCTTAGCTCCTCAATCATGATTTTGTCCCTGATTCACTTGATTAGCTTTACTACAACTTGCACAGGACACTTCTGCAGTGGCTTTGGTTATGGAGGAGGTAAATTCTCTTGAGGGGAGGATACTGAGGTGGTCTTGCCTGTAAATGCTTTGGGCTTTCCTCCTCCTTACCCCTTACCTCTGGTCCCATAGGGCACTTTGTCGTCATGTTTGCTTTTTATCACTATTAGGGTTAAGGAGAAATGTTTCAGAATTAAGAATTTTAGGAAAACCAAATGTTGTCTTGCTTATTCTCTCCTGTTTATTAGCAGAAATACTTGAATTGGTGAGTAGAACCTATGAAGTTCAAAATAAATTGATTCTCTATAAATGAACATCAACACAGAAAAGCTCAGATTTGTTTTTCTGACTTATGTAACGGAAAAATATATCATAAATTCTTTAAGTTGCTAAAATTCTTTTTCAAGCTTATACTTAAAATGATAAAATATCTATCATAGAGAATACATCAAGAGACTGAGTTTTTGCTTTTAAAAAACCTTGGGTGTAGATTTTAAAGGCTATGGCCTAGTTAGTCCTCTTTAATTTATCAAACGAAAACTTGATACAAGACAGCAGCTTTTGGTTTTGGGCTTTCTGTATAAGCACCAGTTCCTGCGGATTTATATAACAGTGGTTAGAGTAAGAACACTGTTTCCATTGATTGCATTGATGCTCTGCCAGGAATGAAACTGGTGGTCCTGGGCCATGACCCTCAGGCTGGCTTGAGTACTAGAATTTCTCAAAGTTACTCTGGTGAGGGTGTTGAGGTAATCCAGGCTGTTTGATTCTATGAGAAAGCCTTTGTATTGCAGTCAGGTACATGGTTCATAACCCAAAACTACCTCAGGTGTCTGCTTTACTGTTTTGCTAGTATCTTTTTAAAAAAATGTTATTTATTTATTTATGAGAGAGAGAGAGAGGCAGAAACATAGGCAAAGGGAGAAGCAGGTTCTGGGACTTGATCCCAGAACCTCAGGATCATGACCTGAGCCAAAGGCAGACGCTCAACCACTGAGCTACCCAGGCATCCTGCTAGTGTCTTTTGTTAACACCAACTTTCCTTTTCCCTCATTTGATACATGCAGAACAGCAGAAATGGGATATGCAGGCATATGCTGGAAAAAGTGGAAAATTAGGGCTTAGGGGTGTGGAAAGTTGGTAGTGTACACTTCTGGTTTCAAGAGGAAGTTCAGTTAGCTTCCTAATAAGCAGGATGAAATTCTTTGGATGAAAATGTGAAAGATATTTTAAAAGAGGAGAAAGTACTGAGGAACTACGGGAAATATATTTGGAACCTTAGAGAATGTTGCCTACTCTCGTCGATGCCCTGTTCATTATTGAGATGTTTGTGTTTTTTTTCCTCTGCAGGCTCCAAAGTGGTACCAGTTGTTGAGTAATAAATACACCAAATTTAAGGCTGAGATCCAGATAAGCATTGCTTTGGAAACAGATACAAAGGCACCAGTGGATAGTTTTAAAGCTAAAGGAGCTCCCCCTCGAGATGGAAAAGGTCTGTGCATCATCCCTAAAGACATCTCTGAAAAAGTTGGAACTGTGGACTAAGACTTGGGGAATGTGGAGTGTATGATAGGGAAACACATGCAGGAGTGTAAACTGATGTTACTCTAGTGCACCAGACAGGTGTAGTGATGCTGTTAACCACGCGACACTTCCTGCTCTGAGCTCTTGTTTACAAAATGTAGAAAGAGAGCAGGATTTTCCTTTCTTCATTTGGTATGTAACTGAAGAAAGCAGAATTCTGTTTTATTAAAAATTTAACATTGAGGAAGATTTTCTTCCTGGGATGAATGCAGGAGAGCCAAAAACTTATACTGTTTTCTCATCCCTTACTTGTTAACAGGACCTTCATAATTTTTTTTTTAACTAATAAACATTCTTTTTATAGAGCATTTTGAGATTTACAGCAAAATGGAATGGAAAGTATAGTGTTGCTATATACCCTGATCTCCCTGGCCACACAACCTCCCCACCATCAGCATCCCTCACCAGAGAGGGCGGTTGGTAAAATTGACAGACCTACCTTAACAAATTACTATCACCCAAAGTTCATAGTTTATAGTAAGATTTATTTCTGGCAATTCATAGTCTGTTTGGACAGAGGTGTAATGAGACACATCTGCAATTGTAGTATCCTACAGAATAGTTTGACTGCTCCAAAAGTTGTCTGCTCTACCCCCTTCTCCCCCAACTCTGTTTTGTTTTGTTTTTTTAATTGAAGTATAGCTGACATAAATGTTCCATTAGTTTCAAGTGTGCATGGTGATTTGACTAGTCTCTTCCTTATGCTGTGCTCACCACACATGTAGATACCCTCTGTTACCATTCAGGGCTTTCAGAGTACCATCACTGGATTCCCTTTGCTGTACCTTTCATCCCTGTGATTTCCTTGTCATGTCCCATTACTGCAGACCAGTACCTCCCACTCTTCCTCACTCATTTTGCCCTTCCCTCTACTCCTACCCTCAGCAACCATCAGTTTGTTGTTGGTGTATTTATAGATCTGATTCTGCTAGAAATATATTTTGCATCATCTGCCAACAAAGACAGTTTTATATCTTTATTCCTGCTTGCCGTGCCTTTGTTTCCTTCATTTATCTTACTGTATTAGCCAGGACTTGCAGTATGATACTAAAAACACTGATGAAAGAAGATGCCCTTGCTTTGTTTCTGTAGGGTTTTTATGAATGTTCTTTATCAAGTTGAGGAAGTTACTTTTTTTTTTTTTTTGGAAGTTACTTTCTATTTGTAGTTTGCTTAGGGTGTTTTATTAATATCTAGTATTGAACTTTGTCACATGCTTTTTCTTCATCTTTTATACCATCATGTGGTTTTTCCTCATCAGCCTTTTGATGTGATTAATAGTAACAGATTTTCCAATGTTGAACTAAAAACTTTCATACCTGAAAAAACTCGCATTTGGTTGTGGCGTATAGTTCTTCATAGACATAGTTACATTCAGTTGACTAATATTTTGTTGAGAATCTGTGCATGTATATTAATGAGAGATAGTGTTCTGTTTTCATGTAATCTTTTTCTGGTTTTGACATCAGGGTAATGCTCATAGTACAAGTTGGGAATTATTTCCTCTGCTTCTATCACCTGAAAAAGATTACAGAGAATTGGTATTTTTTCCTTGAATGTTTGCTAGAATTCACCAGTGAAGTCATCAGGATGTGGTGCTTTCTGTTTTGTAAAGCTATTATTGATTCAATTTCATTAAATGATACAGGTATATTGAGATTGTATGAGTTTGGGCAGACTGTGTCTTTTAGGGAAATTGGTCCATTTCATATGGGTTATTGAATTTGTGGGTATAAAATTGTCCTCATAGTATTCCTTCAGTATCCTTTTAATGTCCATGGAATCTGTAGTGAGGTCCCTTACTTGAGATGATAATTTATGTTTTTCTCTCCCTTTCTCTTAATAACATTGGCTATGTGCTTAATGGTTTCATTGATGTTTTTGGAGAGCCAGCTGTTGTTTTCTTGGATTTTCTTCATTGACTTCCTGTTTTCAGTTTCAGTGATTTTAGCTCTAGTTTTTATTATTTCTCTCCCTCTGCTGGCTTTGAATTTAAGTTGCAAAAATTTGCTGCTCTTTTTCTCTTTTCCTGAGATAGAAGCTTGGATTTTTGGTTTTGTTTTGCTTTTTAATATACCTTGTCACTTTTTGTTGAAGAGTGGACATGATCTATGGGGTAAGAAGAAAATGGGCCTTCAGTAACATAGAGGTGAGGTGTGGGGAGATGGGGAGCTTTCTGTGATTGAGCCTCAGTCTTTGGATGAGCCTATCCGATCTAGGTCATACATCTGTGGCAGGAGTACCACAGAAGTGGTGCTCTCTTCTCATTGCATCTTAGCAAGTTGCGTGCAATTTTTGATTTGTCCCATTACTGATGATATGATGATACTCACACTGGTTACTTGATTAAAGTAGTATGTGTTCTCAAATGTAAACTTAGTATCTTTTTTTCTTAAGTAACTAATATTTGGTGATACATTGTTAAAAATTATGAAATTACTCTTTCCTTATCAAATCTTCAATTTACGTATATTGTATAAATTTGGACTTAATGGTGTTCTTTTTGTGTAATGGGCTAAAATACTTACTATTGTTTCTCCCAGATGTGTGCAAGCAGAGCCCCTTCAAGCTGCTGCTGTTTTCTTTAGCCTGTCTCTCCATAATTCTTTGAGCTTTTCCTTGGTTTCTGGCATAGGAAGATGGTACAGACTTATTTTGTTCTTGCCCTGTCTCAGCCCTGAATGCAGGTATTAATGTTTAGGGAGCCTTGCTTCCTTTTAGTAAAGAAGGATGTTTAGGAGTCAAGGTCCAGGTAAAAGGTATGCCAATTGCTACCGGGGTGTTCTGCTCCCGGTGCCTTCCTGTGGAAAATGTGAGGGAGGTGGTTCATGAATGTATACATATTCACACATATATACAGAAATAATGGATATATATACATGCACCAGCACCCCATACATATATACCTTGATATCTGTGTTTAGCCTTATATTGAGTGAACAGTGTATATTCACACTGACACCTTCAAGTTTTATAACTCCCTGATAAAGGGAGATCTGTCATAGTTACTCTTTTAATTTCTAATCTCTGCTGATCATGCTATTTCATGGCTGTCTTTATTTAAGTGCTTGTCACGGGCTGTGCTAAGTGCTTTACTTCCATTATTTAATTTGTTCTTCTGAAAAACATTATAAAAGCTTTGCAAAATTAAAAATGGGAACTGAAAGAGATCATATAGTTTCCCCATAAAACTAGTAAATGCCGGATTTGGGATTGGAACCTTTGGTCTGTGTTGTTGGAGTGTCTCTGCACCTAACTAACCATTGTGCTATTTTTAGCCAGTGCTGCAGTAAGTTTGTTTCTTTTGGGTTAACCCTGTGTGCCACACCACCTGCCCCCGCACCCCCCCCCCCAGTCCCCTCATCAGAGTCACAGCTGTCCTTTCAGCAGCCCGGATACTTAGGAAACACTTGTGTTTTTGTTTTTAAGATTTTATTTATTTATTCATGAGACACACACACAGAGAGAGAGAGAGAGAGAGAGACAGAACACAGAGGAGAAGCAGGCTCCATGCAGGAAGCCTGATGTGGGACTCAATCTCGGGACTCCAGGATCATGCCCTGGGCTGAAGGCAGGTGTCAAACTGCTGAGCCACCCAGGGATCACCAACATTTAGTTTTAAACTGATTTTCAAGCCAAAGGTGTAATTGCTCTGGCTGCAAAATAGGATGGGGTGTGCGTATATCTGAGGTGTGCATTATATCACTTCTCAAAATTGTTTCATGGTTTCTTCTTCTTCTTAGAAAACTGTCCTAGTCTTTGAGCATGACCTGCAGGAAGGCTGTATGATCAGGTGTCTGCTCCACATCTTCCTGTGTGTGAGTCCTCACCCAGTGATCCAGCACTGCACACACACCTCATTTCTCCAACCACATGCTTTCTCTTCCCAGGCTTTGTAGTGCAGTTCCTTCTGCTTGGAACACATTTTCTTTTTTTTTTTCTTTTTTAATTTTTATTTACTTATGATAGTCACAGAGAGAGAGAGAGAGGCAGAGACACAGGCAGAGGGAGAAGCAGGCTCCATGCACTGGGAGCCCGACGTGGGATTCGATCCCTGGTCTCCAGGATCGTGCCCTGGGCCAAAGGCAGGCGCCAAACCGCTGCGCCACCCAGGGATCCCTGGAACACATTTTCTACTCCCTTATTATCTGTTCATTCACCTTTCTCTTCTTAGCCAGGTTGGGCTGACTTTTCAGTTCCTAGTTTAGATCGACTTCTTTGGGAAACCTGTGATGCCTCTTCCCTGTGGTTTATTAAATTAAAATGTTAATGTATTTGGAAATAAGGATTTTATGTGCAGAAAGAAAATGGTGGTTAAATAAGGTTTCTTTGGAGAGTGTGTTTATTTTATTTTTTCTTTTTTTTAATAAATTAATTTTTTATTGGTGTTCAACTTACCAACATACAGAATAACACCCAGTGCTCATCCCGTCAGGTGTCCCCCTCAGTGCCTGTCACCCACTCACCCCACCCCCCGCCCTCCTCCCCTTCCACCACCCCTAGTTCGTTTCTCAGAGTTAGGAGTCTTTATGTTCTGTCTCCCTTTCTGATACTTCCCACACATTTCTTCTCCCTTCCCTTATATTCCCTTTCACTATTATTTATATTCCCCAAATGAATGAGAACATACACTGTTTGTCCTTGTCTGATTTAGTTCACTCAGCATTTATTTTTTTTTTCTAAAGATTTATTTATTTGTTTATTTATTTATTCATGATAGACCCAGAGATTGAGAGAGAGGCAGAGACACAGGAGGAGGGAGCAGCGGGCTCCATGCTGGAAGCCCGACGTGGGACTCGATCCTGGGACTCCAGGATCGCGCCCTGGGCTAAACAAAGGCAGGCGCCAAACCGCTGAGCCACCCAGGGATCTCCTGGAGAGTGTGTTTAAAAAAGTAAATAAATAAAAGGAAACCTTACTGAGGTACTAACTATATCCATGAAAACTGCCAAGCAAAATACAAAGCTCAACCAGCTGTCAAAATCTTAAGGTGGTTTTATAGCAAACCATAATGTAGTTTAATTGCGTTTTCCCTTTAAAGTACCTGCCAGCCTATCTAGACTAGACCCAAAGGACATTGTGGCAGTGCTGAATGAGGAGGGAGGCTACCACCAGATTGGACCGGCAGAATATTGCACTGACTCCTTCATTATGTCGGTGACCATTGCATTTGCCACCCAACTGGAGCAGGTGAGACTTTTCTTCTGATTAGTAATTCACAACTGAAAATATTGACTTTTTTTTTTTTTTAATTTGCTTTTTAGGTATTAAAAGGCAAATTGTGAGTGGACTTTTTTCTTTTAAAAGATAACGTAGGAAAATGTTTTCATTCACATCAGAAAGCATTTCTGCCTAAAGAAAAGAGTAAATTGGTATGAATTTATTAGTAAGAGAATAAGTGAAATCTTAGAATTTATAAGAAAGACCATCCGTAAACACTATTTCCTGTTGTACTGTGTGGCACTATAAGGACTGGCCAGAAAGGATATTTTTCAAAGTATTGAAAAATTGACTTTTTAAAATTGTGCAATGTTGGAAACCCTTGGTCTCAGTCATACTTTAATAGGTATCATCTGGGATTAGGTTTTACCTTATTTACAAACTAACACATTAGCCAATTACTGCTTCTTGGATGATGCCAGAAGACAAAAGATTCTTTAGTCAGAGACTAAAGACTGTATTACTCTCAGCACAGCAAGCAACATGAACATCTTCGTATTGCCTGCTGTTTTTGTTAACCCGTGTCTCAAGGGGTGACACACAGGTGCTCGGGTGGCTGCTCCACACAGAGCGGGTTTGTATCAGAGCTGAGCAGCATAGAACCTGGGGAATATACCACTTTAATTGTAAGTGGTCCTGGTATCTGTCCAGGAAGACACTTGACCTAATCCCTCGAGGTTACCAGCTGCATAAGCAACCCTGGGAAGAGGCATTGGGGGAAAGTGGTCTGGGCCTTGTGAGCTTGGTGCCTTCAGCAAGAACTGTGGGTATGCACAGGACCTATGCCAACGTTGCCTCCTTTGCAAAAATGGCTCAACACAAAATGAGCTGTTATTCCATCATCTTTTTTCAGGATCAAACCCAGTTTTTTCAATGATAGGTTGGTCTGCAGCAGCTGAAATAAATTAATATTTTCAAAAATAGAGAATATGGCTTATGACTTAAATTTTTACCATAGTATTAACTTTTTTAGAGGTACAAAGCTCGCACACAGTCCACATTTATAAGCAAAGTACTTGTAAGTGACTGTCACACTCCCCCCCCATATATATATGAAATATATATTAGGAAATACTTATAATTTTGTCATACCAAATTCATGCTTTTCCTTTCTCCATCAGTTTCCCTTTTTTTCATTAAAGCCCTGCTTATAGATTGGCTTTACCTTAATATGCCTTTCTGACTCAGAGGGTGGGAGGCTAGATGTCCACTGTCTTTTCATTAACCACATAAGACTACACAAATAATGAGGCTACTAACTCTTGTATTAGTAACTAGATGTGAGGCATTTTACATTACCACTTTAATTTTTTTCAACTTTCTGAGGAGGCATAATTTATCATCACTTATTGTTGTCCTGTTCTGTGAAATAGGCATTATACTAACTACTATGTTGAGTCTTACCACAACTTAAGGGGATATTAATTTTATTGTCAAGATCAGAAAACCAAGTCTTAGAAAGGTCTGTAGCCAAGTAAATGACCTAGGTATTTCTGGACATGTGGTCATTTTGCATATTCTCTTGTTTCAGTATTAACCTCTCTTCCTTCTTGAGCAGTTTTGGAGTAAGTTGGATTTGCACAGGTTGTCTTTCTTACTACTTACTACCTACTAGCTGGCTCCATTAACTTAGGCAGTATAACCTTTCTGAGGCTTAAGTTTTCTCGGTAGTAGGATAATGGTAATACCAGCTTTGCCCAGCATGAAGGATGAAATAACATAACCAAAATATGTACCATATAGTTGGTATGTGTGAAACTGTATTTGTACGATAAAAGCTTATTGGGAGTAATTGACCTCTTGAATTCACAACTAAAACAATTCTTGGTGATATAGTGTCCCCTTATTGGGAAAATCACTCAGTTTAGTTTTTTAAAAATCTCAAAAACCAGATTGATAACTGGCTGTCGGCATGTTCTGCTAAAAATTAAGCTAAAAAGCTTCCTCGAAACAGCCAGCGCAATTACCAATTCAGTGTCAAAAGAACTGAAAACAGGTATTCAAATAAACTTCACAGGAATGTTCATAGCAGTATTCATAGTATCTAAAAGGTGGAAGCAACCCAGATGTCCATCAGTGCATGAATGAATAAACCAAATACCATGTATATCTGTACACTGGAATATTACAAAACTCTAACGGAATGGGGTACTGACGTATGCCACATTGTGGACAAATGTTGAACACATGCTGAGTGAAAGAAGCCAGATACAAAAGGTGACATGATGTCTGATTGCAGTTATATGGAATATACTAAAATATGTGAATCCATAGAGCCCAAAACCAGATGTATGGTTTCCTGGGACTGGAGAAAGGAGTGAATCGAGACTGGCTGCTTCATGGTTAAGTGTTTGTCCTGGAGATGATTAGAGTGTTCTGGAGCCAGATCGGTGACCAGTGCACTATGACTTTGTGAACATGCTCATTGTTACATGCATGCTTTTTAATGGTTAGAATGGTACATGTTCTGGTATGTGTATTTCACAGTAATTAAAAAAAAAACAGGAAAAATTAAGTCCAACAGTGTGTTCATCTTTTGCTACTGTTATAATATGTACCGTTTGCTGTTGTCATTATTTAAAAACAAGCCAAGGGTATTATAAGTTAGCCATTTAGTTTTTTTTTCTCCTCAGGCTAGTGAAAGGTAGTGTAGGAAGCATCTAGTAACAAACTAGCAAAAAACACCTTTTCAGTAGAACATGATGCTCTCAAGTTACAGAATGGAGGAATGAATTAGGAGCCGGAAGACTGGATGGTGATAATCTTACATTCCTCCTCCTTAGATACTAAACGTTGAGGGTTTAAAAAAAAAAAAAACCTACTTTTTAAATACAGGAATGTTAAAGGATTTTTAAGAGAGTCTTTTCTCTGGGAATTACTTGAAATTAAATAAATTGAAATATCTAAGGGCTATCTTTAGTCTTAAAAAATCTTAAAAATTTTTATTGCTTTCTGATTATGGAAGAAATCAAAGTCTTGTCTAAATAAATTGAGAAATAATCACTGGTAAGGGTACTATATTTTTGCCTCAGATATTTTCCCATTTGTATAACAGCTGACGCTGTGCTGAGTGGTAGAGTTGTACAAATGAACATGTATTCTGTCTTTTAATCCTTCCAACAACTCTAAAAGAAATGAAGATGGAGATAGAGAGTGATAGAGTAATTTGTCCAAAGCTTCACAGTAAGCCATTAATGGAACCAGGAATGGGGGCTTAATCCAGAATCTGCTCTTAACAGTTGTACTTGTATAAGTGCTGGCTCTCTCTATAAATCTACTTGATTAAAACCTACTCAAATACAGTTTAATGTTTGGGGTTAAAGTAAACATTAACTTTATGTATAAAAATATACCTTATATGAAACAATAGCTGTTGAGTATCTACCGTGTTACTTTACACAAAACAAATGACTTTATTGAATATTTACTATATACAGAATGTGGGGCTGTTTAAGTAGCTAATTCTTTCATTTTCATGAACTATACAAGCTGCCCTGTAACTTTGCTTGGCCTAAAATATGTCTTAGATAGCTGTCGTGTCAGGATATCACTGTCTAGCAGCCCTATAACTAAAGTATATTTTAACCATCTCCTCTTGCTGAATACAGCAAGTGTTACTTTTAACAACAGTGCTAGTGAACACTTAAGATCTGTTAGGTATTTTGTATTTTATGGGCTAAGAATTCATGGCTTTGCCATATGTGGCCCTGAAACTACAAGCTTTAGGAATGCAGCAGAAGGATGTTTCCTGTAGTGTTCAAACTGTTAATTTATAGGTTTATCAGTTTTGACAGAGTGACTAGGAATTTTTTTTTTCCTCAAAGGCCTGGATTAAGTGGTGTTACATTAAATAGCTTGGATTAAGGTTGTTTAGAACCCTCCACATATCTATGAAGAGGGTGGCAGAGTAAGAATTCGTTGAAATAAAGTATGTGAAAAGCAAGAAAGCTCAGTTTAAGATACTTGACCACTTTCTTCTAAAAGAACTGTCATGTACTCACTCATGGATCATTTGAATGAAAAGTAAACTTGAAAATTACTGAAATCTCTAAAAATAGTTTTGTCTCTGGGCTTTCCTATGGTGAATCTAGAAAAATTAATCAAACTAGTTATTTCATAATAATTTTTCAGAGACTTAGAAATTTTGAGTGATGAATTTTAAGACTTTGAAATTTTAAAAAATCAGCATTTGAGCCAATATTGGGAATTTGTCAGACATGCATAAGCATGTATAGTGGTTTACAAATTAATACTCTTTTCTTTTTTCCTTAAATGCTTAGTTAATTCCATGTACCATGAAACTTCCAGAAAGACAGCCTGAGTTTTTCTTTTATTATTCTTTGCTGGGAAATGATGTTACAAATGAACCCTTCAATGATTTGATCAACCCAAACTTTGAGCCAGAGAGAGCATCTGTTCGAATACGTAGCAGCCTAGAAATTCTTCGTATTTACCTGGCTCTTCAGTCTAAACTACAGGTAAGTACTGCAGAAAATTGGTTTTTTATTAGAGATGATTTTCTTAAGGTTTAGAGAGGTATGTAAACTCTTACTTCGGTAGTGAAGGTCACCTTTCTGCCACATCTTTTAATTTCTTACAATTATCCTGACTTGCCAAGTCCTAGCATAACTGTTATTTCTGAGTTTTAGGAGATAGACTCTTTTGCCTAGTTATTAGGAAAAGAGGTGTATCCGTTTTCAGGCTTTATAATAAAAAATGGGGCTGGAGCCCAAAGCTCCAGGGCTCAGGGAAGATTTCATCATTAATTAGTGGGCATGGTAGCTATGCACACACAGATCACACTCTGGGATTTCAGAATTTATATTCTTTGCTATTAAATGCAAAGAAATAACACAACTTTCCAAAGCCTGCCCTTGAATTGAGTACTTTTATACAGTAATTTTTTTATTGGACTCTCCTAAAAGTGAACCTTAGTGAAAATGACTGTTGTATTTTTATTTTTCATTCATTCATTCATTCATTCATTCATTCATTCATGAGAGACAGAAAGAGGCAGAGACATAGGCAGAGTCAGGAGCAGGCTCCCTGTGAGGGACCCTGGGATCAGGACCTGAGCCAAAGGGAGATACTCAACCACTGAGCCACCCCTGCATTTGTGTTCTATTTTTAATTACAATTGCTTTTCATCAGACCGATGTGGGAGAGTAAAATAAAGGATTAGGTCATCATTTGTTTAATATGATCAGGCATGGGATTTTGCTTGCAATTTGGGTGGAAGGTGGGAAGGGGCCTTAAGATATTATAAAACTATGGGGCACCTGGGTGGCTCAGTCGGTCAAGCACCTGACTCTTGATTTAGCTGAGGTCATGATCTCAGGGTCATGAGATCCAGCCCTACCTTGGGCTCTGTGCTCAGAGGGGAGTCTGCTTGAGATTCTCTCTCTCTCTCCTCCCTCTGTTCCTCCTGATCCCTGACCTGAGAGCGTGTGCACGCTTGCTCTTTCCATGTGTTCCCTCTCTAAAGAAATCTTAAAAAAAAAAAAAGTATAGTAGAACTAAATTTTGGAGATGATTTTGTTAAACCCAAGGTACTAAATAGTGAAATACTGTATAAAATGATGAACTGCTTTTTTTTCCCTGCATTTCATCTTTTCACATAGTTTTTAACTTTCAAAACGTCTTGAATTTTTTTCTGTATCTGACATATCAGTGTTTACTAAAGTAAGAACTTCTTTTTTCACTTAATTTTTTTTAAGATTTTATTTATTTATTCATGAAAGACACAGGGGGAGAGAGAGAGAGAGAGAGAGAGAGAGAGAGAGAGAGAGAGAGAGAGAGAGAGGCAGAGCAGAGACACAGGCAGAGGGAGAAGCAGGCTCCATGCAGGGAGCCTGATATGGGACTCGATCCTGGGTCTGTCTCCAGGATCACGACCTGGGCTGAAGGTGGCGCTAAACCGCTGAGTCACCCAGGCTCCCCTCTTCACTTAATTCTGATGGACGTTTAAGTCATAAAAATCCTTTCTCTCCAGCCCACCAACAACGTCACACATAATAATATTAAAACTAGCTGACAGGTCATTGCAAACATTAGAACTAAAAATAGTTTCATGTTGTGATTGCTTATTGTGCATGGACACCATGTTTGCCCATATAGTAAGGAAAATAAATACCTGAACAGCCATCTCAGAAGGGGTATTGTCGAAGTTTTGATTAGCTATCAGTGATAAACAGTACAGTCCACCTGAAAGGTAATCTCTTTTACCTTGTACTGGTCAATACTGTTATAGTATAAAATTGGAAAAGCAGGAAAAGAGAAAGAAAGGGGTGCTTGAGTGGCTCAGTCACTTGAGCATCCTTCTTTTGGTTTGGGCTCAGGTCATGATCTCCGCGTCCTAGGATCAAGCCTCAAGTCAGGCTCCCTGCTCAGCAGCGAGTTGTCTTCTCCCCCTCCCTGCTCTTTCTCTCTCTCTCTCTCTTTATTATTGAGTTCTTTGTAAGGTTTATGCCTTATCAACAATTTTAATCATCCTGTATGAGAATCTCTTAGTCACTGCAGGTCAGTAAGATAACCTGCATTATACTTTACTTCTCTGGATCATTTTATTTTTTTAAGGATTTATTGATTGATTGATTGAGAGACTGCCATGTGCACATTTGTGGTGTGGGGGCATGGGGAGCGATGGGGGTGGAAGGGAGAAAGTGGAGGAGAAGCAGAGAATTTCAAACAAACTCTGTGCTGAGCACAAGTGTGGCGCCTGCTGTGGGGCTTGATCCAAGACCCTGAAGCCCAAGCATAGGATGCTCAACTAACTGAGCTATCCAGGCTTCCCTTTCTGTTAAGTTAATGTGTTTTGGAGATGAGAGAGAATATAAAGCCTATTTTGATTTTCTCTTTCCCACTAGATCCATCTTTGCTGTGGAGACCACTCACTTGGAAGTACAGAAGTACCCCTAACTGGACTGCTGAAAAAGGGGAGTACAGAAATCAACCAACGCCCGGTCACCGTTGAGGGTGCTTTTATCCTTGACCCTCCAAACCGAGCCAAACAGAAGCTTGCACCTGTTCCCATGGAGCTAGCCCCAACAGTGGGAGTGTCTGTGGCTCTGCAGAGAGAAGGCATAGAAGCCCAGGCAAGTAGCAACCATCCATCCCCTCCTCCAGCTTTTGCTGTGTCATTCATAGCTCTTTATAAAAGTTGATCTTCAGAAGAGTTTACCTTGTGTGAGAAAGTATTCTTAAATTAGTGGCCTACATTCTGAAAAGTACTGTGGCTTCTTGGCTATACTTTGAGTGTTTATACAGAGCCTTTGCATGCAGTCTTTTTTTTTTTTAATATTTTATTTATTTGAGGGAGAGGGAGAAACAGGCTCCCTGCTGAGCAGACAGCCTACACAGGACTCCATCCCAGGACCCTGAGACCATGACCTCAGCCAAAGGCAGACACCCTTACCTGACTGAGCCACCCACTCAGGCGCCTCCCTTTTTTTTTTTTTTTCTTTTTTCTTTTTTTCTCAAAGATTTATTTATTTTTGGAGAGGAGAGGCAGAGAGAGAATCTCAAGCAGACTCCCAAGTGCCTTTCATGTAAAAGGAACTATGCCTCCTCAACCCTCAACTCATGGTCAGTCAGTGCCAGAAAAGGAACCCGTGTAAAAGAGAATGTTGTTAGACCTAGTTTCTGGGAATCTGCATTAATCATAATCATTTTTGTTGACTCAGCTTGAGCTAAGACAGAGTTCCTGGTTCACGGTACTGTATGGTCCTCAGACGCTATTTAGGCAGCAGAGATGAATGTTTGGACATACTTGTTTTTTTTATTATATATAGCCCCAGAATCAACTGTAGTGTGCTTCTTTTGAAGAACTATCTTTATGTAGGTTATGAATTAAAGATAGAAAAACCAAAGTGAGAGTTTAAGTATATATATTATATATATACACACACACACATATATATATGCATATATTTTTAGAAGAAGGTTGAACAAAGGAAAGGAGGAAAATCTTATTAGATATGTTTTTATTTTTTGTTTTAGTAGCAGGCCTCCATTGTATTTAGCCCTTCTTACAGTTAGGATATATTTTGGTACTCAGCTCTCGATACATATTTCCTTCCTGTTCATCTTCCTTTTTCTGGTCCTAGATGCTATAAGAAAATTTGCAAATTATGAAGAAAAATAGACTAGGAATATCCAAACTGGGAAAGGAAGCTTATATTTTTAAAAAACAACATCTCGTTTTTTGCTTAATTATGAAGGAAAGTGCTTTACAAATTATACTTTATTTAAAAATTGTTTTTAGTCTTTAATTGAATTAAAGACCCAGAATGAACATGAACTACAGCATTCAAAGAAGCGAGTTTTAACTCCTATAAAAGAGAAGATACTCACTGGGCCAAAGTCACCAAGCATGTCCCCTGTTCCACCTCAAAACCTTTCACCTCCAACAAAAGATGATGCAACAGGAAGTGAAGTGGAAAGCTTGCAATATGATAAGGATACAAAACCAAATCCAAAGGGTAAGGTGTTCTTTTTACAGATTTTTTTAGGCATACATTTTATAGCCATCTAATTAATGATTAAGAAAGTTTTCATGGTCTTTAAGTAAATTGTGAGTTTTTTATTTTAAGAGCCAGTAGTGTGTCATGATGTAAAAAAAAAAAAAAAATTTGCTTAAATTGGAATAAATTTAGATTGAGTCTGTAACTTTCTCATAGATTTTGCTTGGGTGAGAGTTTTCCAGTTACTTTTATTTTAGAAACAGTAGTTTATGCAGAAGAGATAACAGAAAATAGTTCTTTTGAATGTATTTTTACATGTAAACATGTAAAATGTATTTTACATTTTGAATGTATTTTTAACTAGTAAACACTTGAATGTTGTGAATTCGTTGGAATTTTAGAAGAGCTACTGCCTATTGTAATAATCATAATGCTCCTTTTTGATCTGAAAGTTAGCCTGAGAACGGTGTTATCTGCTTTTCTAAACTTTTCCCATCTACTGCGTAAGGATCTGCAGTTACGTTTCCTAGTGTAAGTAATTAAAAGAGTGGTGGATTAAGAGTCAAGTTAAGGTGCAAGTTATCACTTGGTCATTGAATAGCTCTTGGACTTGGGCTATTCGCAAAACATCTCTAGTCTATAGGGATTGAACTAGTTATCTCTTTTGTTAGACTATGTCATATGTGCCTAAAATAGCCAAAACTACTACTTAAAAAGTGATGAAATTATATCTGCAGTACGTCTCAAGTACAACCCTTCAGATACTAAGTTGAGTTTAGCTGCCTCTTGGAAAGAAGTTGGTTCCTGCCAGGCTGCTGGCACATATCACAGCATCAGTAATGTATGCTTTTGTGTTTTGTAATCTATGTTAAAGAGTAAGGTCTTTTTTTACACAGTTCTAAAATGGGAATTAAAGCCTACATAATTTTGGGTAAGTCACTTCAAGAAGTCGATGGCTTAATTCATGTTTATGAAAGCAAATGATCAGATTCCTTGCTTGAAGGAAAATGAGATTTCTTTAAGTGATGTAAATAACTGAAAAGAAATTGTTACCAAATGGCATTTTTTCTTTTAAATTTTTACGTTCATTCTAGCCATCACTTCTGTACCTGCTTCGGTGGCCCAGGCAGTGGGCCAGGCAGTGACTGCATCCCATGCTTCAGAAACAGCCTCAGGACAGAAGATTGCTGTGCCAGCAACATCACATCATTTTTGCTTTTCAATAGACTTAAGGAGTATCCATGATTTGGAAGTTGGTTTTCCAGTCAACTGTATATTAAGGTATGATCTGATTTTGTTTCATAGTATTATTTTCTGAAGAGCAATGGCTTTCCTTTATTTGGGAATAATAGAGGGAGAAATATCACCGAAGTGAAAACATTGTTAAACCCATGAACTGAAAAGGGGGCAAAACTCTGTCCTAATGACTTTGAATTTAAACCAGGGTGACATTGTTGGTATGAGAACTAATAATAATTACAGGTATTTATGACAATGTAGTAATGCCCCTTGGTAAAAAACAAAGTGACTCTTGAACTTATAAAATGTGTTGTTTCAGGCAGCCCTGATGGCCCAGTGATTTAGTGCTGCCTTTAGCCCGGGGTGTGATCCTGGAGCCCCGGGATCGAGTCCCACGTCAGGCTCCCTGCATGGAGCCTGCTTCTCCCTCTGCCTGTGTCTCTGCCTCTTCTCTTTCTCTCTCTCTCTCTCTCATGAATAAATAAATCAAATCTTAAAAAAAAAATTTTTAAAATAAGGGAAGTATTGTATCTGTTTTTTTATAAAACTTTATTATAATGGGGATCCCTGGGTGGCGCAGCGGTTTGGCGCCTGCCTTTGGCCCAGGACACGATCCTGGAGACCTGGGATCGAGTCCCACATCGGGCTCCTGGTGCATGGAGCCTGCTTCTCCCTCTGCCTGTGTCTCTGCCTCTCTCTCTCTGTGACTGTCATAAATAAATAAAAAATTAAAAAAAAAAAACTTTATTATAATGGGAGGTTATAGCTAATATCTACACTTGGTAGCTGAGACTGTAAAAACCATATTTAATGAACTGCAAGTGGAATGTGTTCACCCTGTTCAATAAAAGAAATTAAAATACGTATATATTTCAGTCAATTAAATAGCTTTACACAACTGCTTTTTTTTTTTTTTTTTTTAAGATTTTATTTATTTATTCATGAGAGAGACACAGAAAGGGAGAGAGGCAGAGAAACAGGCAGAGGGAGAATCAGGCTCCATGCAGGGAGCCTGACGTGGGACTCAATCCCGGGGCTCCAGGATCCAGGCCCTGGACTGAAGGTGGCGCTAAACCACTGAGCCACCCGGGATGCCCTCAATTGCTTGTTTTTAATAGTAACACATTTTCATCAACTTTTTTGGCTGAAATATGTATTAAATGTAGTAGTACACTAATGTGTTTTTGTTTGGAGTATTTAGTTTTTCCTTATAAATTTCTTTGGAGCAAGCATTAGCATTTCTATTAAAGCTATTGCTCTTTACGTTGTTAAAACTAGAAAATCTTTCTCTCATTTTGGATTGCCACTGCCAGGAATGTCAGCAACTACATGGTGCTCCCTGCTGTTATTTACTGCATACCTGTTTTTCAGATGCATCATTAACTCATACACCTATTTAATTTTTCAGTTGTTAGATTCTTATCAAGCTGTTTGTAGAATCCCCTGAGCTTTGATGTGATTTGTGGACCAAATCAAAGGGACTCAACGCTGAGTGTAGCAGTGAATTCACAGAATGGGAGTCTTTCCATCACAGCATAAGTTTGGCTTTTTACCTCTTGTTAGAGGCTGAGAAACATGATAATCCTGGTTGAAAATTGAGGAAGAACAAAAAAAGCTTTCTCTCATAGACAAAGCTTTTCTTAAAAGGTTTCTAGAACATCTCTTAAAATGGTTTTTTAGAAATAAGAATGATTATTTACTTTCTCCTTTACTTTTTTTTTTTTAAGATTTTATTTATTTATTCATGAGAGAGAGAGAGGCAGAGACACAGGCAGAGGGAGAAATAGGCTCCATGCAGGGAGCCCGATATGGGACTCAATCATGGGACCCCAGGATCACACCCTGAGCCAAAGGCAGACGCTTAACCGCTGAGCCACCCAGGCATCCCTCTCTCCATGTTTTTAACTGAGATCCCTTTACCAGTGCTAGTAGAAAATGTGACCTTAGGGTACCCAGAGATGCTGTTAGTTAGAAGTATAGAAATAGTGGGATGATCTAAAATTAGAAGCTGTGAGGGGGGAAGTCTGTGCCAGCCCGAGTAGCAGGCACTTTTATCTTTGTTTTTTAGTGGTTCAGTCTTGTCATACAGGCCTTTTGTTTAATCATTAAGTGCCTACATTATGCCAGCAGTGTGTCTGCTATTGCGGGTTTACAGAGCTCAACCTAGTGAAGAAGACAGATTTTGCCAGAAGTTCATTTGGCAAAGAAAAGGGAAAATGTATTCTAAAGAAACAGTTAAGATTCACTTACACATGCTACATAGAATTCACTTGATAAGGGCCATTGGTTATGTCTTTGAGGCATCTTATAGCATTTTTTAAAAACAGTTTGAGTTTGATTTCATGTAGTCATGCTCTCATGACCTGTCATGAAACTGCAGTTGGCCACTGTGTAATGTGATTTGTGAGATGATCTGATTTCAGTGGAATTGAATGAATGCATGGGATTCTTGTTTTAGGAAAAGTAGATTCCACTCCTAGGCTTTAAGCTCTAGTTTTCCTAACGAATAACAAGATACAAAATGAAATTGAAGTGAGCATTACATTGTCTTTGTATTTGGCTTTAAATACAAAGTAAGTTCTATGATAGGCATCCTTCCATTTAATCTCGTGTGGTTTCTATGATGAAAGGAAAAAGTAGTCTTGTTACTCATTGATTCATCTGCTTTCATCCTTGATTTTCAAAGGCAGAATTCCATGGGTGCACCCTTTTAGAGTTAACTAAGAGTTTGTTAGTCCATAAAAGTCAAGATATTAATGAATAGAGAAAGTAAGTTTACAAAGTAAATTCAGCAGGTATTTTATTTCTTGAATGTCTACTATGTGCTCAAAAGGGCTTATTTGTTGCTGGGAGGGTACAGATGAAAAAGATGGGATCTGTGCCCTCAAGGAACTCCTAAACAAATGGTGGCCTGGTCTTTGGACTTCATCTTACTCGGGAAGTTTCAAAATGACCATCTCTTGCTTATTTGGTGTCTTTGCCTTCAAAATACCAAAATTCTTATTCCCCAGAAGGTCATTCTCAGATCACTTGTAAAGCAGCCTGAGGAACTAGTGCTATACACATAATATATTTTCTCTAGAACTGCTATAATTTTTATATTGACACCGACAGTATTTGCACTATTTTAAAGTTGGCAATAGGACTAAAACCATAATGTATTTGTATCATTTCCCTATTTTAAAAATTCTGTTCATTTCATTATATTCATATTATACTTAAAAAAAAAAGACTATAAGCCTTACCTGTCAACTGTCTCATAGGATTTTGTTTTTTCTTAAATTTTAGGTACTCCTATCCATTCTTCGGTAGTGCAGCTCCTATTATGACTAATCCTCCCGTAGAAGTTCGCAAAAACATGGAAGTTTTTCTCCCGCAGTCTTACTGTGCATTTGATTTTGCAACTTTGCCTCATCAGCTGCAAGATACCTTCTTAAGGTAATATGTATACAGTCTGTATGATATGAACCTACTCTTGAAAATTGATATCTTGTTAACGAGAGCAAGCCTTAGAGTTTTAAATTCACAGCAGTCAGTGCATTTGAAAAACCTAGAAACAAAGGTACTGGTAATGTCTGCAGTGTTTGTGCTTTTGCTTTAAAGTTTTATATGGTTACAGAGGCTCTTTGTAGATTTTACTATCTTGTCTGAATTTAGATGTTAGAACTAAGTTGATAGGCCTATAAGTAAAGAAGCAGCTTTGAAAAGTAGTCCTGTTTCCTCATAATACATGAAGATAAATGCAAACAAGCTACTTAGTTTTTATTACTGCTTCACCAGTTGACTGTGGTTATTGTTGGCTTTTTCTGATTTGTCATCTATATAACATGGAGGTGTTAATCCAGTTGTCTGAATTGGATTTGTGAAGAAAAATGAGATCTGAAATGTCTTTTTACTTTCTCAGAGTATCACAATTCAAATTTGTGTATTAATTTAAAAGGAAGACGGAAGATTAAAAATAGTGTCTGGAGGGTTTTCTTAACTGCACAGAAAGAGGTGTAGAAAACGTAATAGTATTTTCTGTTTGTTACCCATGGAATTGAGTCTTTATAATCCAGGTAACAAAAACATCTTTGACTCCATTTGGAGAACTCAGAGATGTTATCAACTTAGTTCAGAACTGATAGATATGAACACTTGTTTCTCTCTTCCTCAGGATTCCACTGCTGGTTGAATTATGGCACAAGGATAAAATGAGTAAAGATTTACTTCTGGGAATCGCCAGAATCCAGCTTTCTAACGTCTTGTCTTCAGAAAAAACACGCTTCTTAGGTTCCAGTGGTGAACAGTGTTGGCGTCAAACTTACAGTGAAAGTGTGCCTTTTATAGCAGCACAGGGGTAATGCATTTCTCAGAATTGGTCTTAGCTTACTTTTTATTCTTATTAACTGGGTACAGCCTTGTCCTTTCTTGTCATCTTTGTTTGATCTTTCTTCTTTGACCAATGGGTGCTATATTCTAATTTGCTTTTTAGTTTTCTGGTATCATTTTACCTTATTATTCTGTTAACACTTAGCCTTGTGAGTATTTCCCTCCCGTCTCTTAAGCCAGAGAATTTTAAATTCCGGCTATTATTTTTAGTTAGTAATCAGGGTTGCTAAATATTATAATGTATTTTTACATTACTTTGCATTGGGAATGACTGGCTTTCTACTTGACAGGTATTTTAAATTTTGCTTCCAGTCTAATTTCTGAGAATGTTACAAATATTTGACACTTTAAAAAGAGTATTGTTCTTCCGCCCTGGAATTTATTGGCACGGGGAAAAACTGAAGTTCACATATCTTACACAAAAGACCTTTTTTGAGTGATCTTTTTCAAGTTAGCAACAGAAGTCTAAATATACTTTAATATTATATATCACATGCCTTGATTTTTGAAGCATAATTAGAATGTAGCATGAACTCAGGCTCAGTAAAAAGCTGAGATCTAAGAGTAGCTTGAAATTCCTTTTCTTGCTCTTACCCATCTCTAGTCACTTGCAGAAAGTAAAGAGTTGAGTAAAACCTGTACTCGGAGGATCTGGGAAGAGGTGTTTTAGAGCATCAGACGCTGCTGAACTGAAAGTTATTTTAAAAATACCATTTTTTTGGTCAAATAACTAGAATATCATGAAAATAATTAGATCATTGCTAGTTATTTTAAATCTGTGGGTTATGAATATTAACTTTTATTGCCCTGCTCTGTACACAGAGAAGTTTTTGGAGAATTAGCTAAGATAGTGCTCCATTTTGCTTTATTCATGTCTTCTAAAAGCTGTGAGATTAGAAGAAAATGTGCCAGTTGATTATTAAGGGTTTGCTTGTGTGGGTTTCATTCACTGAAGTTTTGTTTGAACAAAGATTTATGGAATAGATTTGATGTAGACAAAGCCATGTTTCTTGTAGCCAAGTTTGTGTTTTTCTCTAATATTTTGGTAAAAGCTACATGGGGTTCTGTGATACAGAGATATCCTCATTATTATAAAAATTATATATAATTATCCAATTTTCGGAAATTATCCTGACACAGTGCTCCCATCCAGTAAAAGATTTATGTCTAAGTGCTTCATACCAGGAAAATGTAGAATAAGAATTCAGAATAATCTATATAACGAAGAGTAGGGAAATTTTTTTTCTGCATTTTGCTATGTAAATTCATTAGGCTATTTTATAGTCATTAAAATGTGCATTTTTGAATTAATATTGATGACACACAAAAAATGGTCTTGATGGAAATGGAGAGAAAGGAACAAAATAGTATGATCTCAGTATGTATATGTATATGAGTGCATGTGCCTCTGCACATACATAAAACGCGAGAGGAAGGAAATGAAAATTCAGTGGTAACTACCTATGGCAATAGGATTTTATATTTCTCCATAACTACAGTGTTAGTACAGTTACAGTAGTAACTACCTATGGCAATAGGATTTTATATTTCTCCATATCTACAGTATTTTCCTATTTTTTAGCAAATATAGGTATGTACTTACTAGAGTGTATATTCAAGTAAGATCTGTGTATACTCAAGTAAGATCTTGTATGTGGGAGGTTGTGAAGCGTATAGAACTTCAGTTTGAGTAGCAACAGTGTCAGATACAAGAAATGTGACCTAATTAGTGCTTTAGCATGGGAAAATAAAAGGAAAAATAATATAAAAGTGTTTCCTTGAATTTTAAGATATTTCTGATTTAACCTGTAGGTCAAACAACAGGATAATAGATCTTTCTTACACAGTAACTCTAGAAGATTATGGACTAGTAAAAATGCGTGAGATTCTTGTCTCTGATTCATCTCAGGTAAGTATCACTGAAAGTGTGACATGACGCCTTATAATGGATCTAACGTGCTAGTGTGTCAGTGTGTTTCAATACATTTTGGTTCATGTCTCAGGGTTTATCTGCTGTACAACAGAAGCCATCTTCCCTTCCTCCTGCACCATGTCCTTCAGAAGTCCAGACAGAGCCTCGAGAAACCTTGGAATACAAAGCAGCATTGGAGCTGGAAATGTGGAAAGAGATGCAAGAAGACATTTTTGAAAACCAGGTTACTTTTTATTTTATTTTTTATTTTTTATTTTTTTTAATTTTTATTTATTTATGATAGTCACAGAGAGAGAGAGAGAGGCAGAGACACAGGCAGAGGGAGAAGCAGGCTCCATGCACCGGGAGCCCGATGTGGGATTCGATCCCGGGTCTCCAGGATCGCGCCCTGGGCCAAAGGCAGGCGCCAAACCACTGCGCCACGCAGGGATCCCAACCAGGTTACTTTTTAAATGTTACTTTAAGGCAGTTTTGTTTTTGTTTCCTGACTACATTTCTTTCTTCTCCATAAGATTTTTCTCTCAGTTCATGGGTACCCTACCCAGTCCCTCACTATCAAGAATGCTTTACCCTTACAGTAAAATAGAATTAAAAACTACTCGATAAATGACAGCTGGGCAGAAGCCATGCAGAAGGATTCCCCTTAACTTTCTCCATGACTCTGGGGCAGAATTGAAGACTACAATTCAGAGGTTGGAACTTGGGCATTTCTTTTAATTTCTGGCCCTCATATAGCATACAGAATCATCTAGAATCATCTGTGTTGAAATGAGAGTTAGAAAACAGGTCTTAACATTAGCTTTATACTCACATGGGTAGTATTCCTTGCCTCAAGCCTTCTCTTTATTTGGTTTAAAGAATAAAATAAAGTGCCTGAAAAAAAAACATGATCAGTGATCAGTATTAATTATTTACCAGAGAAAAACTGATTTGTATATTTGAAACAGTGATATGTTTGCCTTTTGTAGCTAAGGCAGAAGGAATTGGCTCATATGCAGGCTCTTGCAGAGGAATGGAAGAAAAGAGATCGAGAGAGAGAATCGCTTGTAAAGAAAAAGGTAATAACTTCTCTAGAAATTGAAGGTGGAGAGGAAAAATCTTCATGATAGTATCTGGTACATGCATCAAAAAAAAAATCTGTGGAATAACAAAGTATAGTGGTTGTTGATTGGTTTGGATAAAGTGCTGAATGGGTCAGTAGTAGAAGGAAGGCCTTTCTCTGTAAGATGTTCGGTGCTTTTTTGATTTTGAAACCTGCAAATGTATTCATTCAGAAAATGAATATTCTAGGAAAAAAGCCTACTTTTTTGTGAAAAAAGAAAACTGCACGTTTAAGTATATATGTGTTATAACTTGTTAATAAAACATTAAAAATTTATAAGCCCTTTTTAAGACTTGTATTCTGGAATAAATGACATTTTTACAAATAACAAGACCATCTGATCTTACTCCAAAAAGGCAAAAGTTCAGTACTTACCCATTTACACTCATGTTCTTGAGTAAAACAAAAACCCTGAAATTTAGACTTGCTATTTAGCTTTCATTTTAGCAGTTAATGATGTATCTATCTATAAATGAGAGAAGACAACCAATGGCACGGTGGTTTGCTACATTCAACCAAGAGACAGAAGCAAGGTGCAGACTAGAATATTCTTGAAAGTTATTTTATTTTCTTCTCTGACTTCAACTATTTATATATTTAATAGGTAATAATTGACATGCTTGGAATTTTTTTTTTTTTTTTTAATGCTTGGGTTTAAATCTACTGTTTGGCTCTTGGTTTTCCATTTGTTCCATCTTTTCTTATTTTTTTTGTCCTTTGCTTTAGATTCATTGACTTTTTTATGATCCCATTTTATTTTTACTATTGCCTTATTACCTGTATCTCTATTTTACTGCCTTTTTTTTTTTTTTTTGGTGGTAGCTTTAAGATTTAAAATATGCAACTTTAATTTATTCCAGTATGCCTTCAAATGCTGTTATACCACTTCATGTGTAGTATAAGAAGTTTACAACCATACATGTCCGTGTTCAGCATATGTCCTTTGTGCTGTTACCATCGCAGATGTTGCTTTTACATGTCTTATCCTTAAATATATTTTTGAAGAGTTAGTTTGTAAGGAAGTAAAACTTTGAGGCAGTAGTCTTTTTATTAGCGAAATATATAACATTTCTTGCAATATAGGTCTGATGGCAATAAATGCTGTTAGCTTTTGTGTGAAGAAGTGTTTATCTGTCCCTTATTTATTTATTTATGATTTATTTATTTATTTGTGATAGACATATATAGAGAGAGGCAGAGACACAGGCAGAAGGAGAAGCAGGCTCCATGCCGGGAGCCTGATGTGGGACTTGATCCCGGGACTCCAGGAACGCACCCTGGGCCAAAGGCAGGTGCCAAACCACTGAGCCACCCAGGGATCCCCTGTCCCTTATTTTAGAAGCTCTTTTTACCAGGTATAGAATTCTGAGTTGACAGTTTCTTGTTGCAGTCTTGAAAGTTGTTTTATTTGCATTTTGGCTTGTGTTGTTTCTGATGGAAAATCTGCAGGCCTTTTTACTTTGGCCTTCTGTCTGTAATGTCTTTTTTTTTTTTTCTCTCAACTACTTTTAGGATTTTTTTCCTTATCACTAGTTTTCAGCATTATGATTTTGGTGGGCCTTGTGGTTCTGTGGTCTGTGTGCATGTGTTCGCCCTGCTTGGAATCTTTGAGCTTCTTTGATGAGCTTCTGTGTTTCTTTCTTTTGTGCTTAGATTCCAGTGTATGTGTATCTTAGACTGCTTGATAACTGTCCCATTGAGAAGTGAATTGTTTGTCCTTTTTTTTCTTCTCAGTGCTTCATTTTGGGTATTTTTTATTGCTGTGATTTGAGGTTCACCTATCTTTTCTTCTCAGGGATCTAATTTGCCATGAATCCAATTCAGCATAATTGTTCATATACTGTATTTTTCATCTCTGAAAGACCTATTTGGGTCTTTGTTTAATAAATTTATTTTTTATTGGTGTTCAATTTGTCAACATACAGAATAACACCCAGTGCTCATCCCGTCAAGTGCCCCCCTCAGTGCCCGCCACCCAGTCACCCCCACCCCTAGTTCGTTTCCCAGAGTTAGGAGTCTTTCATGTTGTCTCCCATTCTGATATTTCCCACTTATTTTTTCTTGTTTCCCCTTTATTCCCTTTCACTATTTTTTATATTCCCCAAATGAATGAGAACATATAATGTTTGTTTTTAAACATACTCCATCTTTCATCATGTTCATGTTTTCCTTTATACTCTTCAGTGTCTGCACTATCTTTATAATACATTATCTTCTAGTTCCAACTAGTATCATTTTGAGGTCTCTGTTTTTTTTCACCTGGTTATAGGTTATAATTTTCCACTGCTGCGCATGATGGGTAATTTTTTGTTAGATGGCAGAAACTGTGAGGTTCATATTGTGGATTGCTGTATCTCGCTGTGATATGAAGTTACTTGGGAGAAGTTTGATCCTTTTAAGTTTTGCTAGAGTGAGCTGCCAACATCTCATAGCCTTGGGGTCTATGGTAGTATGTTTATGCCTCGCATGTCACAGGGTCTCTCCTTTCAGTCGGGTAGGAAGGCATACTCTCCTCAGACCTGTCTGAGCTCTGGGAATGCTTCATCCTTGAGCGTTCCAGTGTAATGTTCCCAGCCCCAGGGAGTTTGGCCTCACACTAGAGCTGACTACTCTACATCTGCCTCCTCTCCTCATGAACTTGACTTGCCCCAGCCTCTTCAGTCTCATGTCTGGTCACTTCAAGTCCGCCAGGTTGAGAGGCCCTGCTGGATGCCCCCCTTCTCTGAACTAGATTCTGGAAAGTGCCTCCAAGGAAGTCCACTAGAGTTCCCATAGATCCTCATTTGTTTGTGCTCTGTCAGGGCTGATGGTCCCGGGTTGCCCATTCTCCAGTGTGTAGCAGCAGTTGTTTTGTGTGGGTTGTTCCATTCATGTTTGTAGACTAGGGGCAGTTGGTCTTCTGTGGGTAGACTGAGCAGCAGTCCCCCAGGCCTTTGACTTTAAAGTAACTGTCTCAGCTTTATCTCCCTTAATTCTCAATCATTAAAAAAAAATTTTTTTTTAAGATTTTATTTATTCATGATAGAGAGAGACACACACAGAGATAGAGACAAGGTGGAGGGAGAAGCGGGCTCTGCGCCGAAAGCCCGACACGGGACTCAATCCTGGGACTGCAGGATCACGCTCTGGGCCAAAGGCAGGCGCTAAACCGCTGAACCACCCAGGGATCCCCTCAACCATTAAAATTTTGAAAAACCAGTGAGTTAAAAGAAAAATAGGACTACTCTGAAGTGTCTGTTCTTAAGAAATGTTCAAATAACCAAAATCAAAAAATTAGAGGCCCTCACACAAATTTTATAGTGGTTGTACCTAATGTGATTTTCATATTAAGTAGCATTTATAGTCCTCAGGTATTCTTTATGAATTGAATCTGAGTGAGCTGTGAAATATTTAAAATTTTGTATTTTTTATTTAGCTTTTAAGGCAAGATAAGTTTATTGTTGAACTATTTTCTTAATGTTGTCAAAGAGTTTTTCAGTGTTGAGGCAAGCAAAAGTCAAATCTTGAAAATTTTTTTTTTAGTTAATTATTTTGGCAATCCAACTTGTGCCCTAATTGAACTTTCTATTGCCAGAGAGAGAGAGAAATCCGTTTTTGTGTAATGGGTTGGAAAAAAAAAAGAAGTCAAGGTAATTTTTTGTTGGTTGTCATTTTGGTATTATCTTTCATTTGGCTTTCAATATATACAATTTCTATTACCATTTCAGCTTGAAATGACAAGCTCCTGACTAGTTAATAAGAACTCTGCTCAGAAAATGCAATGATATCTGTCTAGTAAGTGGCTGTTTATTTGAATTAGTCATGTCCAAAAAGTTGATTGGATGTTGCCATTTTATTTCAACCTAAATACATTTGAGAGTACAATGTGTGCCCTGTCTTGCAAGAATATGGTCAACTAGGATGAGATCCATTTTCTAAAACTTGATAAGTTACCGTAAAATTGAGTCACTGTGGAGAAGTCCTACAAGTCCTACAGGGTTTATGTGATCTGTCTCCCAGCTGCTTCTATGACCTCATTTCTGTCAGCCTTTTGCTACAGTCTGTTCTCACCAACCTGGCCTCCTTGTAGTTCCTTAGACATGCTAAGCCGTGGCCTCCCTCAGGATCAATAGAATATTCTTTTGTTAGAGGTATTTCCTGGTTTCTGTTGAGAATTGTCTGAATGAGGTCTTCTCTCATCATTATTATATCCAAAATAGTGCCTGGGGGCAGAGGAAGAAGGCAAAGTATACACTCATTCTGCTTATTTTTGTCTTATCATTTACTTAGGATTGCATTAGGGCAGGCTGGGTGGCTCAGTGGTTTAGTGCCACCTTCAGCCCAGGGTGTGATCCTGGAGAGCTGAGATGGAGTCCCACGTCGGGCTCCCTGCATGGAGCCTGCTTCTCCCTCTGCCTGTGCCTCTCATGAATGAATAAATAAAATCTTAAAAAAAAAAAAAAAGGATTGCATTAAACACCCACTTTGTTCGTAGTTGTTCTTCCCTCAGAGTACAGGTTTCACAGGACTTTGTTTTACCCACACCTGCTAGGTTTTAAATAGATCTTTGTTATTTAAATGATGATTTCTAGTTTTTAATACATTTTTTAGTTTGAGATACATGGGGAATATTGGCATATGCAGCAGATACTCAGACTTAGAGGTCTCAATCTCTGGAGGGGATTTTGACTTTGCAATCTGGATTTGGGAGTTCTGAGTGTACGTGATGGTAGGTGGTTCATGTCATCTGTGGAGGTCATATAGCAGGTAAGGAGACCTCCTGAGACAGGGCTCTGCATGCCTTTGCATTCCCAGAAGCAGAACATTGGAATTCTGACTCATCATCCTGTTTCCCTATCTCTGTAGGACTTTTTAAGGAGGTAAGGCACACTTAGCTTTTTTTTTTTTTTTTAATTTTATTTTAGATAAACCAAAGGTAGGTGGTAGAGTTAATATATAAGTGATCATGATGGGTTGGTAGGCTGACTAAATCATTGAAATAAAGTTAACAAGGAGAAATGTCATATTCTGTAAACACAGTCTTTTGGACAATAGGTATGTGGATATAGTTATCCCAGGTTTAAAAACAAAAGCCTTGGGGGATTTTCTTTGACACAGCAAATGACATGATTAGAATCCTGAAATAGCATATGCAGCTGTAGACTAAGTTAACAGACTTGCTGTTCTTATCTCTGGCCAGGGGACATTCTTCGGCTTCTGAAGTAGTGAGATCACATCTGGGTACCACATTTTTAAAAAGACTTTAGTCTAGAATCTAGACTCTAGATTAAATCCAAGATATTAGATGATGTAGAAATCCTAATATGTGAGTAATAGCTAAAACTTGTATTTATCTTGGAGAAGAAAAAACACTAAGAGGATACATGATGGCTATCACCAGATTCAAATATGTGAACATAGATTTTTATTTTCCTTCTGTTTTTGGGATACAAATATGATTCAGGAGCATCAAACCAATGTCTTAATGACTGTGGGAAAGAGAAGATTAGGATGAGGACTGGGATCTGGAGAGTAGTTGGTGAGACCAGAAAAAGTGGTTCAGAAAGGTCTAGTAAAAATGATCAGAAATGAAAGATAAAAAACTGTTAGAGTCCTACATCCTGTGTAGGTTGACCTCGCAGACCTCTTACTCTGATTGGGACTCACAGGGTCAAAGGGCAGAGCAGGATTTCAGACCATAGCAATTGGGGTGCTAGGCTTGGGTCCCAAGCAGGGAGTCTGGCTTCAGAAGTAATCATGAGCTCAGCTATTGGAATTGTAGGAAAGGATCAGATCTGAACCAGGAGGAGGACTGACTTGAAACTGACCAGTGTTCTAGGAAAGGAGTGTAAGTGATAAAGGGGCGGGAGGGGGGGGGGGGCTGCGTCAGAGGAATACTGGAGTATTGACCAGGCAGATTTTAAGGAGCTCTAAGTGTTGAGTGTGAACATAGGATTTTACTAGTAGTCTGATTGCCCCATGAGAGAAAGAGCTTCCTCAGGAAATGGAGAGGCATCCAGGCAGAGGCTAGATGGGCTTCCTTCCTTTGAGCACTAGAAAGAATTTCTGCCTTGAATTGGTGGATATAATTCATGATTTTACTATTCCTACATCTTTTTGTTTCAGTAAGTTATAATGTATGCATTGTTTAATTTGTTCATGTTTTGAATTTGGGGGAAAGGTAATTTTTCTTTTATTCTGTTTTAGGTGGCTGAATATACTGTTCTAGAAGGAAAACTTCAAAAAACCCTAATTGACTTAGAGAAGCGAGAGCAGCAGCTTGTCCTTGCAGAATCAGAGGTAACTGTATTCCTCTGTCGTATGTCTTCATTTCCCAGAATCCATATACTAGGCACATGCTATTATTTTTCCTTTATGCTCATGTAAAATCCATTTCATGGAAATTGTCTTGTAGGCATGATGGAGAAAATTGCTGTTCAATAATAGGTCAGAATGTGAGGAATAGACAGTGAAGTGTCTGTTAATTGAAATGTTATTCAGCCAACTTTGACGTCTGCAGTGGTAGAGATTTTTGGTTAACGTTCCCATTATGGGGAAGGAAGGATAGGTGCACTACCTAGAGAATAGAGAAAATGTGTAGCACATGCTTAGTGGCCTAAAGTTCTGACGTTCTCAGTAAAAAGGGATTATCCCTCTTTGTTGCCCATTAAAGGTTAGATCCAAAGGATGAATGAAAACTTTTGTTAGTGCTGTGTCTAGTCAGCAATTTTGTTAGGTCTTATTAAATTTGACTCTAAATGTCTATTTAAATTATTACAAAAGTCATTTCAAAGTAAATAGAATTCCTTCCACATTAAGTTTATATGCCCCTTCCCTAACCACCTGTATTTCTCAGAATTTTTCCCAGCATATCTCTCTAACCTAATCTTCACACATTTTCTGGAATTTCTAATTTGATTTAGATATTTGACCTTAAATATATGGTTTCCAACACTAAGGCTCAATCACCTTCTATGTTATTAGGCAGAATGTAAGAAATTTTGTTTTTTGTTTGTTTTTAGTAGGGTTTGCATTTATAATCCTTCACTCAAGACCTGAGGTCAAGAGTTGGCTGCTTAACCAACTGAGCTACCTAGGTGCCCCAGTGTTTTTGTACAGATCAGGGCAGAGGGAGAAGGAGAGAGAACCTTAAGCAAACTTCCTGTTGAGCAGGGAGCCTAGCACAGGGCTTGATCTCACCACTCTGAGATCAGGACCTGAGCTGAAACCAAGAGTTGGATGCTTAACCAACTGAGCCACCCAGGCACCCCTAGAATCTAAGAAATTTCTAAAGAAGGAATGAAACTTGGGCATATTTGCTTAGGTAACGCAATGCTGAGGTTTTATTCAAATAGGAATATTAAGTGATTAGGGCCTTTTCATTTGAATTTATGTAAGTCATATATGGAATTTTGGATATACATTGTATTTTAAAATTAAATGATGATGGATTAAAAATGTATGATTTCAGTATATACTTAACCACTCCTTTTAATAATGGAAAAGGATGTGAAAATAAATTTGTAAATATTCTAAACTTTTGACAGTATATAAGGATAACAGACTCTTGACCAGTGTAATGCAGCCAAGAGTGAGCTGACCTCTAACAGACACACTTGTTCACAGGTTCAAAGAGAAAGAAAGGAACTGAAATCAGAACGTGAACGGAACCTGCAAGAACTTCAGGACTCCATCCGGAGGGCCAAAGAAGACTGTGTTCACCAGGTTGAACTAGAAAGGTTAAAGATGAGACAGCTGGAAGAGGACAAACACCGTCTACAGCAGCAGGTGGCCTCTCAGAGCAGTTAGCCCTAGGGGCTTGCTTATCTGCATTCACTGACAGGGTCCCAAAATTCACAGTAATTCCAACTTATGATCATATTGATTGCAACTGAGATTCAGATACACTTTAAGTCAGATCCTGTTTTCCTAAATCAAAGCCAAAAACTACACTTGGACCAGGTCTCTTCCTTTATAATTACTCACATGGAAAGGAACTAAATTTCCGGTAGATCGCCAGATTTTTTTCTGATAAATTTCGTTGTGGCCAAAGTATTATATGTCACTGAACCAAATTTAGTTAAGAACCAGGGTTGGTGAGAGAATGGCCTGTTCTCCCATCCCTCCTTCCCTTACACTCACCTGTCCACCCCATCCACTCCACACCCCAGCCTCGTCCTTCCAGCCAGGTGTCAGGGAAGCCACCAGTGGCAGATCATTTTTACTTCTCATCTTGCCCAAACTTACTGACAGCTTCTACACTGTTGTCTTCATGTTTATATATGGTCTTCTCTTACCCTCCGTGCCACTCTTCTCCTGGTGTGCCTCTGCTTTTCTGGCCACCCCTCAAGCTCCTTCACAGGCTGCTTTTCCTTTTTTCTAGCCATTCAGTGTTGGGCTTTCTCCAAGCTCAGGACTTATTTTATACAAAACAATCTTATTTGCACCCATAGCTTCAGAGACACAGTGTACCTCTGGGACTTTCACATTTATATCCTTGACATGGTAGAGCCATCCAGCTAACCAATTGCATTTTGACCTCTACTTGGATCTCTCATAGGCATTGAAAACTCACCCTGACACTCCTGTCCATACCTGACTGTCCTCTAAGTGTCATTTCAGTAATGGACCCTCTCATCTGTTCTTGTTACAGCCAGGGTGATGTTGACACTCGGGGAATCCTCACACCCTCCATTAACATCCTCCAGTATCATCTTATTGCTCTGAGGATAAAAATCAGAGTTAGGATCTTGCCCTCTTAGCCTTTGCGTAGTTGGGACCCAGCTGACTTCTTTGGCTGGGTCTCCCATCTTTCCCCCCTGCTGGAGGCTCTCTGACCTCAGTGGGTTTCCTTTGAGTCCTCAGGCCTACATAGGATCTTGGTGTGTACTGCTTTTTCTGAGCCTTGTGAACTATACTCATCCCTGAGTTTTAGGCTGAAGCATCACTTAGCCAGAGCAATCTTCCCTGATTCCTGTACTCTAAGTCTCCATCGAGTTTTTATTAGATGTATTAGCAGTTAGTTTTTATTTTCATTAGCGTGATAATCTGATCAGCATTAGATTGTTAGTTCCATAAAACTCCTTTGGTTTGTATGTGTATGCCTGGAGCCCAGCCAGCCTTCAGAACATACATAATAGTGCTTAATAAATTCTTGCTGGAAAAAAAAGAAGGATCAAGCTGTTAAAAATTAAGTTTATCCTTCTTGAAAAATTTCAGCATAGAATAGATATGTATGGTCAGTGCCTCCAAACTCTTCAGTAAATTCTGGCATGAAGAAGAGTTTCCATAACTGTTCAGGGCCAGATAAAATCACATTACTTAGTTGTACAAGGGGGCAGTCGTGATAGGATTCACCAGTAGTGCTTCCTTTCTTCCATTTCTTAGGACGATCGAGCCTCCTAGAACAGAGGCTTCTAACATGTATTAGAATCACCAGGAGATTTTTTTAAAAAAACTATTTCTACCTTGTCCCAGACTGATATAATTAGCTAACATCTTTGTGGGAAGAACCTTTGTGGCAAGAGCTGGCAATTTAGCAAAAATTACCCCAGCCACTCCTAAAATATAGTCTAAGACCTTGGGAGAAACCCAGCTGGGGAGTGGAAGGAGCTGGCAGCACATATTTCTGGGATGCTAAAATCCCTAAGCGCTTTACTGGGAACATTTCATATTTTATATACAACATTCTAGGCCCTTACTCAGAACCAGATTCCGTATACTTAACACAGTTCTAACCAGACAGGAACAAATGACAAAAAGACACCGTCAGTGAAAGATGAAGTATCTGTATTCCATTATATAAAAAGCAGGTCCCACAACTCCATCAATGTTGTTTATGGACCATTTAGCAAAAGAAAAAGAGCCTATTATGCCTCATAGCTTACTTTCTGTAAAACCTGATTGGAGCCACAGTAATTATCTCTGCATGGTGGAAAAAATACCAAATATGAAGTCTTTTAAACAAAAGCTAAAACAAATAAATGTGACAGAGATGCTTGAGGACGGTTCTTATTCAAATTTAAAAATAGAAATTTGGATATTCCAAGAGGTAACCTTCAGACCTATGAAGAATTTTCAGGTAATGGAATATATCATTACCTAAAGATGCAACATAAATCCTAATTAGAATTATTTATATTTACTGGCATGAAATAAGAATTTATTATTGATAATTTTAAGTTCCATTTCTGTCTTACATTTTCTCAATATTTCAAATGCAGGTAAGTCATATCGTAGCGATAAGATAAATGGGTTTATCTAAAGATTAGTAGTCATAGTGTTACATGTTTTTGGAAGGCTTCTTTAACAGTGCTTGTATGCATTTGATTTAAAAAAAAATCCAGATTTGAAAAGAACATCTTTATATCCTATTTTTTTTTTCGGAGGGTTTTTTTTTTGTAGTTCTGAAACTGTTCTAAGGGGAGTTATATATAGACTTGAGTCAAGGTGGTCTCTTTCTAAATTTAATAAAGTGCCTGCTTTCATCAGAGCATTGTTCTAGGATTGAAAATGTCTGGATGCTACTCATGCTTCTGCTACTGACTAGCTTTTAGGCACTGCCACAGTCATTGAGCTTCTGTAACCCTTAAATTTCTTAGCCACAAAAATGAAAGTATTGGGCCAAATACTCTTGAAATGATTTTAAGTTGTAATAGTATTTGAATAACGAAGTTCTTAGAGCGTCAAATAATAAGAAAAATACTGCACTAAAAGTTTGTTTTCATCCATAATTAGCTGGTATATGTAAAATGCACAATATCTTCTTACATGTGACATTTCAAGTATGTGGTATCAGTATTTTTATAAAGTGAATTTCATTTGCCATTTAAAGTTTAACAAAAATGTTCTTGTGATACTGGTTTTATAACAAATTTCATACTCTTAGGTTTTTGTATCTTAATTTTTCTCATATTTCGGGAATTTTCTAAATTTTCTACTATAAACATGCTTTAAAATTAAAAAATGACACTTGAATTCTGTACTATTGAACTTAGCATACTGGTGTTATTTAAAGCCTATAATACTTTTTTTTTCTTAATATACAGCTTAATGATGCTGAAAATAAGTATAAGATTTTGGAAAAAGAGTTTCATCAGTTCAAGGATCAGCAAAGCAACAAACCAGAAATCCGCCTACAGTCTGAAATCAATCTTCTCACCTTAGAAAAGGTACTCATGTCAGATTATGGCAATTTAACCAATTCTAATAATTTATAAAATCAGTAAGTATTATTTGACTATAAAACAATGTTTCACTGTAGTATTCTGATGTCAATTAAGAACAGAATTCTAGACACGTGACATTTGTCAGTACTTGAATTTCTTTTATCAGTTTTATCAGCTATAGCTTATACTGTAACGGGTAGTTGTTTGCATTATCACAGAAGTGACTAACTGTAAGAATAAAGGAATCCGTGAAACTTTCAGGAAGGGTAAAGAACAAGTTTTAATATAGGAGCAAGAACTGGGGGAAGTAGGGCATCTCCTGTCCTTCCACAAAAACATCTGTTCCTGCTGCTGTCACTGCTGTGTCCCTAGATTTCTGTATCCCCTGATTCTGGTGCTGGTCTTGCTGTTGTGAATGCTCTATCACTACCCTGTAGACTCAGCATCATTACAAATCTGCACTCTCCTCTTAGCCTGGAAGATGTGATATCCATCCTTTTTTGTTTCCTGTGGTTGTAAGCCAGGTCTTGCCTCTATTTATATGGGGATTCTCCAGTAACAGGGAGTATGTTCTGGTTCTAGGCATTAAAAAATGTGTAAAGTACAACAGACAACCTAATCTGACAGCATACAATCTTGCATTTTATCGTTTGATGTTCTTTAGTTGTTACTGAGAAGATTCAACCTATATAATAAGAAAATGACACAGGTTGTAAATAAGAAAATAAGCTCTCGAAGTTAAAGGCCACTAGGGGGCACTTTAAGAAAATTGGGAGATGGAAGTTGGGAAGATGCTAGGGTCACTTTTTGCTGTCTGTGTCTTTATCTCTGTGCTTTTGTAATTTTCTCCAGTAGTGGGCATACTTTTTTTTATGGTTCCCTCTCCTGCCTGACAGCCCTTCTCTTTAGCTTGCCTTGTGCACTCCCCACTGTACTCTAGCTCCCTAGACAAGCCTTGTTTCTAGGTTCTAGATAGTAAGAACTGCTACTCCTGGTACTTCCTTCTGTAATGCCTGGCCCAGGCTGATGCTGCTAATCATTGAGGGGCCTTACCCTATACCCTCTGGCATTTCTGCTTTTCCATGACCTGTATCACCAGTCCCCTGTATTGAATTAATCTCTTTTAAAGAGCTGTAGTGATTTCTGGTTTCTTGGCAGGATGCCCATGGACCGAACTGATTTTTCATTACCCAGCAAAGATAAACGATCTTTGACATTGTGCTAAATGCTATTCTGTATGATTAGAAAACATTTAGGATAGAGTCAGGTAAATGACCAGTCATACAAAGAGGCAGGGAACTTACCTAGATAGTTAAGGTTAAAGGTAGATGATGGCTGATACCATCTAACTTTCTCTTACAAAGAGCCACGAGTGCAAAGGGGAAACAAAGCTACTTCTCCTGAAATCAACATGTGAAGTGTAACTACGAAATGAGACTGGATATGCAACCTAAAGGACACATGACCTTTTAATGGGTGAATATATGGGGAAGGAGATTCTAAGAAGAGGTATTTAAGCCAAGTAGAAAGGTTAGAGAGTCTATTGCATATCTGAGTAATAGCTTGACTATTGGGTCATTACGGTTGTAGTTGCAAAATAAAAATGAGACTGATAAGAGAATGCTGTAAGTGGAATTTTTGGCCCTATGGGTGGGAGAGGGGGAAGACCTTAGATGGTAAGTTAGAGAATTTGTATTTCATCTGGTAAGAAAAGTCAGAGATTACTCAAGTTTATCAGATTGGCTTAATGGATGTCAATAAAGTGAAGAATTTTCAAGAAGAACTTTTTGAGGAAGTGCCTCTTGTAGAGAATTATGATTCTAGACATACTACATTTGAGATGCTAACAGAAAAAAAGTGGAGCAGTTAACTGAGTGGTTAAAAATGAGAAGGACAGTAGGGAAGAGAGAAAAGGGCTAGACCTCCAGGTTGGGGAGTCAGGGGCATAAAGAAGCCACTTTAGATGCAGATACAAATAGGGGCTGAGGTATATTTAGGAAGAACCCCTGAACATCTAGGGGGATGTATGGCCTCAGGGACAGAAGAGAAGAGTCAGAGAAGGAGGCTAAAAAGATTTAGTCTAGCGCAGTGCCAGAAGAGGAGGATTTTTGAAAAAAAAAAAGAGGGTAGAGGTCCTATCTCATCAAGGGCAAGTCAAGAATGGTGGAGGAAGGGCCATGGGCTTGTCAGGTAAGAAATCATTAACTTTGAAGAAGCCATATTATAGTGGCTTATTAAAAAGTTTGGCATCGAAAAAACAACAAACCCAGAGGCCTCACACTGTTAAAAAAAAAAAAATTACAGCAGGGAGAAATTTAGCTTTAAGAGAGGAGGGGTGAGTGGACCATGAAAGAGTTTTTCTTGGGAAAAAGAGACACTATTTAAAAGGCAGAAAGGGTGACTACATAGAAAAGTCGGACACAAGAATTAGACCGTGGTTAAAAAAAAAAAAGAGTTGAAGTGGGTATTATTCTGCTATTTCTGAACTCATTAAATGTTTCTGTGGCCTGTCCAGGGCCGCGCTATCTTTGGTTCCTCTTCTTACCCCACGTGGACTTGACTGCCAAGCCTGGTTGATTCTGTTTCTTACATATCTGGACAGTCTTTCCATTTCTCCATTTGAGTTTTTGGCCTGTTCATTTGTCTACCAGTGAACTTGAATCCAGCTGGAGATTTTCAGCCTCTCTTTTGATAAAAACAAGTGTTCAACTATTTCCGGGTTTACAATTCTGAATTCTGTGGTACCTCCCAAAGATGGCTGAAGCGCACAGTGTCTCAGCCATTCTCACAAGCCCTCTTAGCATAGGTGTCAGAGAGTATTTTCATTTTATTGTTTTACTCTCAGAGACTACTAATCTCAGAACAGAAGCATTATTTTTTCTGAATATAAACTTTATACTTTCAACCTTAGAAATACATTTTAAGTCATTTTCAAAACCCATTTTTTCCAACTATACTTCTACCAAGAAGGTAAAAATCACTCAACATATTAGAAGTTTAAACAATGCCATGAATTTGTTAAGAGCAAGGGGGAGAAAAATTACTAATGCAGCTGCCCCTGCACCAGACCTAATGGATTCATCCAGCATGTTTAAGTGTTCAGTAAAACAAGGCTTCTCAGCTTTTGTGAAAATTCTTGGTAAATTTTTTTTGGAGCCAGAAGAGGGCAGAATCTTATTTCTTATTTCTAGGTAATAACAAAACCTAAAAGCACAAAAAGAAAGACATAGTGAAAAAGTATCTGATTCCATCTGTAATTTCTGGCTGAGTGAGAACTTTTTCTTTTCTGATTACTGTCTTCAGTGTAGAAGAAATACTTCCATTTTCACAGAAATGGTATAAGAATAAAGATACAATTTTACCAAATAGTCCTGATTCCTTTTGTTATGTAAGAAGTCAGTAATAGTTTATGATTTGCTTTTTGGTAGGAATGACTCTTAGATGGCTTAAAAATAACTCTTTTAAATTAATGAAATATAGAAAACATGATTTAGTAGGGCAGACTGAAGTTGAAGATAAGCCCTGAAATTTTCTGCTTTAAGAGTATTTGGCATCCCATCCATCCCAGTCTTAAGGCAAAGGGAAGGGTGAGGGGAGAAAAGAGAGAAAGAGAAAAAGCATATTCTCTTCATTTTCAGAAAGTATGCAATAAAATTGGGGAGAAGACGCAAAGAGCCATAAGTGATTGTATGTAATCAAACACCAGGGCATGTAACAGGAACTCTTGGCAATTTAGAAAACAGTAGTTTTAAAAGACTGCTTCCTGGGGGGATAGCTGAGCCTGAAGCTTAACATTTTAAGTAAGCAGAGTAGAAAAAGAAGTATCTGGCTCAGGAAGTCGATGGGGCAGGGAAAGTGGTCTACAGGACACCAGCCTGGGGGCTAGAGGAGACGGTTTTCTCTTGAGGAATACCCAGGAAACAGGACAGAAGTGAAATTCTGGAACACCTTGAAACATAGGCTGAGGAGTGGAGGCTCAAGACTACAGGTGAGTGGTAGCCACAGTCAATTTTTTTTCTGGCAGGGAATAAGGTGCAATGTGCAGAGAGGAAAGAGTTGAGGCTGAGGAGACCCGAGAAGAAGAACATGGGTTAAGGAAATGGCATGAATGTAAAAGAGTAAAACTGTCACATTCTTCCAGGGGGCACTCTGGAGTTACTTGCAACAGATTGGAACTGGGGAGTAGGACATCAGGGACAAAGCCAGTGCCATCTGTCTAGTAGAGAACAAGAGCAATGGGCACAGAAGCAGGCCAATGGGGGTATCAGCAAGCAAGGATCTGTGCTTTCTGCCTGCGCTCGGAGGCGCAGAGCCGGAGGTCAGAGATCTGTAACTTGGCTCATGACATAAGTGTACAGGTGAGCCCAAGCTTCACATCTACTCACAGTGAGAGATCTTAACAGGAGGTCTGTGAATGCCCTGGAATTATATCCTATCTGTAGCCATTAGAATCACAGAGGCACTTGAATTCTTAAAACAAATAAAGGTAGGAATCTTGATTAGGCCAAAGGAATGAATTAGAAGTGAGATTTGTATCTGAAATTTGCCAACGACAATTTTTTTTTAATTTAAGTGTGAATAACTTATGCAAATGGGACTTATTTTGCTAATTATGGCAAAACTGTTAAAACCTGCCCTGCTTTCTCTGTTGAGCCCTTCCCCGGGATATACATGATCCCTCTGGCTTCATCCTCATCCTAACCCTCATCCTTAGGCCCATCCAGACTACTACACCTTCTCTGAGACCCATGGACATGATCGCTTTTGTAATTAAATACTGCCCTTTTATCTCAGAGCTGTAAAAAGATTGTTGCTAGTCCTCTCACCAATGCCCTATTGTTAAATTACCAAGTCATATGTATAAATCTGTGAGGAGTAAGTAGAAGAGATCATCTTTGATAATCTCAGAGTATTATTCAACTTAAGACATCTCAGTCTAGTTGTGAAATGTCAACACCTTTATATCTAAGCACCAGGGATTTGTAGAGCAGAAAAGACCTTGACTCCATGAAGTCATATATTACTGCAGAGAATGTTCTGGTCTTTTGTGAAGAGAATTTGGCAATCAGCTTTTCCTTTCATTTTATTTTTATATAAGTTTTCTGGAGTTTGAATTGTGGGAGAGTGCCTTTGGTTTGTTTTCCTGCAAAACAGGAGTTGTGTGTATGGGAAAAACTAGACTTGATATAAAAAACTTAGGCCTGTTTAGAGTCACAGTATTTTACTGTAATTCAGGCATATTATTACATTATCACTTAAATACTAAAACTGTTGGCTTCATGAGTTTGTTTGGTACTTGGTTTGAAACACTGAGAGAGTACATTCCAGAACATAGCCAAGTTGGCTTCAGTTCATGCACAACAGATTGCCTGCTGCAAGTATAAATAACCATTTCTTTAATGGAATCACTTTCATGTTTTTCTTTATATATTTGAAGAAAAATAGAAAATAAAAGTTAGATGAGTGTTATTAGGAGCATTATTTTTCCAACTCTTGGGTTTATTTTAACATTCTTAAAATATTTTTCACTTTGTACTCTTTCTTAGTAAATTGCTTTCTGATAAAACATTTCACTGTTTTCAGCATTCTCTGATTCTTGCCAAAATATAGTTAGAAAAGTATCTCTGCTCGCTCTTTTTGTTATAAGACCAAGTTCCATGTCATGATAGGACTCCAAAAGGAAGAACGTGGTTTCTCAGATTTAGAGTGCCAGCTGAATTGGAATGCTAACAGTAAGAACTGCTTTTTGTAAAAAGTGAATTTGTTTTTCACTCTATACACGTTTTAATACATTTATAGTAACTGTCTGGAGGTTAAGACTGATTCGGTTCCTTTTAGTATAGGCTGTTAGGCAGTAAAAATACGACTATATTTTAAACAAGAAAATGTTCATGTGCCATAATATTTATAGTAAATTATATAACAGTTTTAGATGATGTCGTATGTTACACTATATAAACTCTTTTCTTAAGCCAGACTCTTTGTATATATTATCTTTCAGTGATTGTACACAGTGGTATAGTGTTTCACTTGATACGATTTTAATCACTGTTAGGTTGAACTTGAAAGGAAGTTGGAATCTGCAACTAAGTCTAAACTGCATTACAAGCAGCAGTGGGGACGAGCTTTGAAAGAACTTGCCAGACTTAAACAGGTATGTAGTTTATAGCTGATGATGGATTGTTCTTTTTATGTCTTTTTCCCTTGATTCTTTACAAGTATGTGTATTTGGCAATATCTTGTATGTTCAAATGCATACATTTCAATCTCCCGGGCTATTTCTCACAGTAGGAGTTTATGGGCTTTTTAAAAGACATTTTTTTTTAATAAAAAAATTAAGTTTAAGTCTTTTTTTTTTCTTAAGTTGCCAACTATCATTCCCAGAAAATTGGGATTAATTTCTTTTACTTGACTTATAAGATGGCCATTTTTTTTTTCCTCTTAGTATTCCTTCCACTGAAAGTACATTTTAGGAGAGAACTTCAGGAATAGCTGAAAAATTTTAACATATCCTCCACTGTAACAGCTTAGTTTAAATGTTATTCCTAAGACATTTATTCAGTAGAGAAAAGAAATCACAGTTTTGCATAATTTTTCAAGAGTTTAAAAAGTGATAGTAGTTTCCTGAATGCTTTTTTTTTTTTTTTTTTTTTTTGGCTTCTTAAATTACTTTTTTCCCCCTCCTTCCTATTCCTTGATAACAAATGCTGTAAGGCTCAGGAGAAATTAATCATATTTTGGGGTAAGATCAAATAAAATGTGAGCAAGGTTTTTTAGAATCCAGCCTACTTGTCCTAACAATTTTAAGGGTCAGTAATGGTTAGCTTATTCTAACTTTTGCCTTTCCTTGAATGGTCACTTTTATTCTGAATGAAATTTGGCACATAGGATCTTTCACATTTCTCTTCTTTTCATCTGTCTCCATGACCATCAAATGCTATTAAACATCTTTGTGGTATTGTACTTATCACTTCCTGCCCTCATAGAGAGTTATGTACAAGACCGCAGGAGAAGAACTAATACAGTTTGCTTTAACAGAGCTCATGGAAGAGCTGAGATTACACAAAGTGACTAGTTTATAAAAGTTCACAGTACTAAGGATAGATGAATGTAACTGCGGTCTCCTGCATTCAAGCTACTGCCCTAGATTGATAGATGAATGTAAAACTGAAGTCTTTCCCTCAGGGAGCTTGCAATTTAGTAATAGGGAAGAAAATCACAAGTACAACATTTATATTTAGGAGTAAGAGCCCTGACAATTAGCATCCAGAGTAATCAGGAGGGGAAAGTATATATATTTAATTGCACTTAAGAAAGGTGCTGTGGAAGAGGAGGTAGTTGAGATAGATCTCCAGTGAGTGGGTTGTTATTTAGGACAGTTAGTGAGGGAAATGTTGGAAGTAAAACTGATGAAATGATTGTGGCAAACAGGCATGACGTTGGAAAGCAGAGACTATACTTGGACCACAGAGGAGGACCCATTGTAGAGAACATTTCAGGGAATAAGGACTGGAACTTCAGTGGGAACAGGACACACAGATTCTTGTAAATTACAGCAAAAACCAAAAAAACATGGTTTTGATAGATTATGCATAGCACAGGCTACCTGATGATAATGCAGAGTAGAAAGTCAAAGATGATGCCAAAGGTTCAAGCTTTACTGCCTGGAAAAGAGTTTTCCAGTATTAAGACGAGAAGGCGATAGGACTTGCAAAGTTGGACATTGTAACTTTTGCAGAGAGAAAGTGAACAAGCAGTCAGAAGAATGGATCTGGTGTGGGGAGGATGATTGGGCTGAAAAAGAGAGGAAAGACTCCCTTGCAGAGGTGAGAATTTAAGCTGTGGTGGCCAGAACTGAGCATTCTGGTTTCCAGAAAAATGGAATGAGAGCTGGTTATAGGCAGCAGCTAGAGAGCAAGAGGGTGATCATAACTGTGATTCCCAGTTCCCCACTTGATGTCATTTAATCCTAACCAAGATCCCTCTGGATCTGGTGATTTTATTCCCATTTTCCAGATGAAAGACACTGAGACTTAGAGCAGTTAAGTCAGGTGCACCTGCTCACACAGATCATGAGCAAGGCAGCCAGCAAGCTTTGGAGCCATCAGACTGGAGCCCAGGTTCTTTACCCTTTATATCATTATCTTTTTACTGCATAGAAGCCAAATAATTCAAGAATTTCAAGAAGAAAGTATGCCAGGGAAAGCCTTAGGGATTTTTCACAAAGTACTGAGGCATGCTTGGTGTGGCACATCCCAGCCAGGGAAATGACATCACTGACTGTGAGATGGACAAGCTCTGATGAAGAGAATTGAGTGACTTTGAGGGGGAAGAAGCTAAAGTCATGATGCCGAGTTACTTAGGTTACATAGGGTACAAAGAGGGGGAGTCCTGAGGAATTGGGAGCAAGGAAATAATGTGTTTAGAGTAGTTGTTAAAAGTAACAGGATCCAAATTGTCTCAGAGGTGGCACACATGGTGGTTTTAGAACCTGGCATTGGAGTCCTGAGAGGTGAGCTGAATGAATTTGGTTGTACCTCTTAACTACCCTCTGTGACTTGGGTAATTGCTTTTGATTTTTGTTCACCATACAAACCAGGAGACTAATTTCTCATTACAGGTTGTTCCAAGCATTGAATGAATGGTTTATACAGTATTTAATACAGTGTTTGGTACATTGGATATGATATATGGTAACTGCTAAAACTAGTGTGCAGTGTTACTGATTTTAGTCAAAATTGGTTAAGAGCTATGGATATTTTTGAAACACAAAATATTGGAGGGAGTTGTGACTACATGTTCTAACAAAGGGTAGCCAACAACAATTTCAGATTTTTTAAGTCTCAGATAGCTGTGGATGTGGTTATATAGTAATAGCAATAGGGAAGCAGGCAGGATATAGTTTGAGTAATAACAATACTTTGTATTTACATGATAGTTTTATAGCTATTCTTTAGAAAACTGTATAGAAGGAAAAAAAATACCTGAATGTGCAGATAAAGCTGAATGTCAGGAGGAGAGCTTCCGCAAGCTGGCATATCAAGAGAGGAGAGTGCATTGAGTCGGTCATTCTGTACTCATCTGACAGCATGTGCTTAATACTGAGAGCCTGGGGTACCGTGGCACAGAGCTACCCTGTACTCCACACAGAGCAGTGTCCCCTACCCCTTGGGAATCCTCTGTCCAATTTGGAGGACTGATAACCCGGGCTCTAGCAGGGTGGTGAAAAGTGCAAATGCAGTTAGAGCCTATGTAACAACACAGGACGTGTTAGAAAAAATAGGAGGACAACGGGCTTCTCAGTGTATTTTGTCCCTCAAAGCTAAGGGAGAAATGTTTCAAAGACAGCATTCCAAATACTACTATTAGATTTGAAAGCATTTCCAGTCTTAAAACCCAAAGTAGATGGGGAAGGGGTGGAAGATGGTGCCTGCTGCTGAAGAAAAGTTACATGGTGGAGGCTCAGAGACTCAGAATGGTAATGAATTAAAAGGCATCTCCAAAATCAGTAATGAAAAGGTAGAAAAGTATTAGCTGTTGATTAGTGAGGACTTGTTTCTCCAAAGGAAATGCCTTGATTACTGCAACAAGATTTCATTATAATTGTCACGAAAAGGCTGCCCTTTTGGCCCCTCCCTTCCTTTTACAGGCATCCTTGTACACTTTTGCTGTCTTCTTACTTTTCCCCATTTCATTCATTCTTTTCCGTTTATCCTTTCTTCCTGTGTGTTTTCTACCCTCCTGCCTAAAAACCATTGGGCAAAATGATTTTTGGCTATTTGTTCCCCCAACAGAACAGCTGTCACCACAAAAGTCAGATGCTCCCCTTGGAGTTACTCTGTGTATTAAGACGTAAACAATGTTAAAAGTCTTTCTTCAGGAAAATAGTCCTGTTCTTTCGAGTACAGTGATCCTCCTTGCAGACTAATTCTGTTCCTTATCCCACAAACTTTCTGCTTTGGAAACAATACTGTAAACAAACTTTGAGGTCACTAGGAATCACTGATGTTCTACAGACAACTTAAGAAGAAATGCAAGAGCCTTTGTGATTACCATGCTGCATTGTGCTCTGCCACTAAATGTTTTTGCAGGATTAAAATTAATAACTTCATCAAATAGGCACAATTCATATGTGTGAAAATACAATTTTTTTCTAGAACTTTTTATTAAAAACACATTTATTGTGTTCAAATATAAATTGGAATCTTCTATCTGCTTTTGTTCAGAGGATTGTTTGTGCAACTTCTTGTTTAAATTGGATTAGTACCATGTTAATTTTACATTGCTTCTGGTCAATAGCCACGGGGCTATAATCTCTGCCAGTAATTTGTCACAGCAAAATCCTCTGGAGGGCCATACAAAACATTTGTGTAGTACGGATTAGACAGGGAAAGCCATATCTTAGATTGTTAATAAATGTTAATGACAAAACCCAGCTGGTAAAGCTTGGAAATAAGATCTAATGCCTGGTCCCTATTGCCAAAGAATGTTTAAACAGATTTCCATTACTCAAAGGTGACCCAGTATAGTCAATTTGTGAATTAAAAAATCATACTCTTCTAATGACTTAGAAAAAAATCTTTTCTTCTGCTTTACAACCATAAAAATCTGTGTTTCCAAGCTGTAGTTTTTGTTGGTGTTGTTTCTTGCTAACTGGGGAGGCAACAGCTGCAAAATAGAACATAAAGTGGGTCCTAACTTAGAAATAAGGAAATGATACCGAGACATTCTGAATTTGGTATCTTTGGTACAGTGGATAGCACAGATCTTAAAGAATTCTGATGGTTAGTTAACGGGAAAATTAGTTTCTTTTTTCCCCCCATGTCCACGAAGGTACATTATCAAAATATTTTTAAACCAAAACCAACACTTGAGTTTCCTTGTTCTTCAGATACTCAAGATTGTCGCCTTACTTAACATTCCTTGTCACCTTAGGAAATAATTGGGTAGAATAAAAGCAGCTACTTTTAAAAAATGAAGCATGAAGAGGTATGAACTTGTTGCTATAGAAAATCTAACAGTTTCATTATGTCAGATCAATTAAAACTAGGTACATCTGTTCCCAGGACAGGAAACAGGACTAAGATTTTGGGTTAGGATATGGTTCCCTTACCATATTTGTGCACAGTAGATCTGTTTAAAACTAAGCTCTGA